AAATGGACAGTGTAGATGCACTCGAGTACTTACGAACATCTTTGCAATTTTCTAATGCACCCAGCGCCAGTTCTCTCAAATTGGCTGGCAATTGGGTTTCAATTTGCTTTTTTGCTTTTGTCTCCGACAACTCCTTTTTCTTGGTTAACTGAAAAAATGCTAAAATTTTATTTTCAACATCCAGAGATGGAGAATATTGACTTACTGTTCCAGCAGTTTCGGCTATGCAGAGCGCGAAGCACTACAGGAAAAAGAGTAACATCGATAACATGTTTTCGTATCCTAAATAAAGTATTATTCATTCAATAAACGGGGACTACCTTTAATTTTTTGTCATCATCTGGAAAGTTCCCTTTGTGCATTCCATCGATTAGAGCTGAATCAACTCCAGTTTTTTCTACGCACGATTTCCGAAACATCGCCAACGACTGTTCGATTTGCTTCATTGTCATCTTTTTATTTTGTAATGGAAATTATTTTTTTTTTCTGATTAAACTCAGTTAATCAACAGCTTAAGAGTAATGATCAAAAAAACCACTCAAAAAAGTTCTTACCGCTCCATATGTCAAATCAAAATAACTCGAAATCACAATAAACGATATGATATTATAGATTTGTGTTAGCATTTTGCCGGTTTTGATGTTTATCCTGAGGAATAATGAAATTGGTACAGCTGTTTTTTATGTATATGAATGTTTGGATATTGAATGCTGGGAAATCTTGTTGGCTTATTTTGAAGCAGTGGCGATTACTGTGGAAATTCTATAATCGGTTTGAGCGAGCTTAAACATCGTATCTTCTTTTTTATAAGCCAGTTTCTTGCGTGCACATTGCACGATTCGAATATGAGAAAGAACAACGCCCATCCAGTAAACTCCGACGCATTTGATCCACTAATTGCTGTCCATGTCAAAAGATTGTCAACGCGTTTCAGACGTTTTATCCGTCTATTGTGCTTGCTTTGATTCTTTCAAACAAAATAGTCAACTGTAGTTAACTGAAGTCACTATCCACCGGATATAACTAAAGTTAACTGCTGTTTTGTCCTTCATACCATTGTCTATGCTATTAATTGATTTATAACAAGTTACAATGAGATTCTGAAGTGGTATCAACGCATTGTTCTAAAATAAAAATTCTAATCGAAAAATTCCGTCTTAATTATACAGCTGTGGATGCTTTGAAAGCTTTGCCATGAACAATAAACACCATAAATGAACTCCTAATCTCATATTAATTTAGTAAAAGGTTGCTGCTTCCTTGTTCCGAAACACAGACACCGTTTTCGGAGCATTGACCTCTTCAAATGGGAGTATAGTGAGGGAGGGCAAGCAAATGTACGGGAAAAAAGTATCAATTCGTTCTTTCTGCTTTTGATGCACATACGCAGTCAAAGTGGATACATTTTTTTAGAGAAAGTAATATTCGGTACATTTCAATAAATGAAAAAAAGCATTCAAACTTTATGTCTGTTATAATTTTTCTTGAAAAAATGTGTTTTTTATTCATAAACAAGATAAAAACTTCTGCCATCCATTTATTGAAACTGATTTAGAAATGGATTTGCGTGAGAAGACTCTCGTCAACTCTCCACTCTTTCTCGTAGATAACAGATGATCCTCATAGGAACATCAAGTGTTCAGGAATGAAACAATGCACTTCGTGGAATAGTAGATTCTATCACAGGGATCTTTATAGGCTTCTTCTAAAAAGCGGAAGGAACACACATGAAACAAATGGATGAAAGAACATCGAAATGTTCCAATAAGCAACAACAAAACTTGAAATGACGTTCAAATGATCCATGTACTTACGAATATGTTTGCATGCTTCGTATGCGCTGAGAGCTAATCCCCTCAAATCTACTGGCAAATGTGTCTCGATTAGATTTTTAATTCTTGACTCTGACACCTCCTTTTTCCGGTTTAACTGAACAAAATGAAAATAGTTCATTTTTAGACTCAAATATTGAGCGGAACGAGTGCTAGTAGAATAATTCGACTTACACATCCCGTTAACTCGGCTAAGCATAATGCAAAACACTGAAAATAAAATGGAAAAGTACCCGGATTTTAAATACAGAACTGATTTAAGGAATGCAATTCTAGTAATGAGATCCAGCTTAGTCAATAATATTTTCGAATTTGTGTCATTTTCTGGGAATTCACCGCGGCGTACGCCATCAATGAGAGATGGATCAACCCCAATTCGTTCCACGCACGATTTACGAAATGTTGCCATCGATTGTTCGATTCGCTTCAACGTCATCTTTTTTTTTGGAGTGGGGGATGAAAGTTATAATAGATAATATCAGACATTCCGTTTGGCTGCATATTGAGCTGAGCCATTTACAAATAGCTGGCTGTTTGGTACATTTTGATTTTGTGACTATCTAGCCATGCAAATTCATATCGAGTGATGAATTTAGGGTACCTTTTTCAATCCTTTCCACGAATTTATTTGTCGTAATCAATTTAAATTGATCATTCCACATGAATTTGCATGGCTAGATAGTCACAAAATCAAAATGTACCAAACAGACAGCCATTTGAAAATAGCTCAGTTCAATATGTCTTATCTGGGATGTCTGGATAATTTTCAAACATCGTTTGATTCATTCAATGAAAACAATTTTTTGGCAGGTGAAGATAAATTCTCAATTATTTGGAAGGTGAACAAAAGGTATAAAGTAGAAACATCTTACCGTTCCATTTGTTAAATGAAATTGGTTCAAAATTATCAAAAGACATGTTACACAACAACAGGATTAACATTTTGTCAATTTTGTAGATGTAATTTCGAAATTTTAATTATCTTCAAACAACTATTCTAAATGTAAAAGAATCTAGTAGGCTTCTAAGAACATTCTGAAGAGATATCGCTATAGAGAACCTATTTGATCGAGCTAAAACTTCGCATCTGCCATTTTTCTCTATGCGTATACATCGAAGATGCATTAATTACAGTTGAAGCCAAATAACTACCATTTTCGGGCATATTAAAACGTAAGCAACGCTTTCTTTGCTCATTATTACATGTCTGTCAAAATAGTTGTAGATAGAAAACGGAAATGGAAAACAGAACTTCGGAATAATAACGGAAAAAGGAAATGGCTACAAAGTCAACTCCAATCGTTTCTAATTATAAGCTCTGACGAATATTCCCGGCCGAAAATTGCCACATCATTAAATATAAAAATAGCATCACATTACCGTTTGTTGTTTTAATTGATACTAGTTTCGGTAACAAAAGAATGAGAAAGTTGTTTAATTACTACAATTAAGTAGAAGCAAGCATTTCAACGGATTTCTGCGCAATAATTCCGTTGACGAAGCTTCGTTATCAACACCATCTGCCAACAAACTGCTGATAAGACGAGTTTTTTTTTTAAATAAATAAAAGCATAATTTGAATCCAGCTAAATAAGCAAGACTTATGCTACTTTTTGAATCCAACCGAATAGAACAAATATCGGGCAACAATCATGATATCAAATTCACACTCCAATGTACGAATGAAACTATTTGAGTAAAAATTTCATTTGTAGCTCTGTGTCTAGATCCAAATGTGCGCTACACTTTTTCTGTAAGATGATAAGCGACCAACAATTTTGTACAGCCTTGTAAAATCAAAATTGTTTTAATTGGGTTTAATAGTTGAGTTGTTTTGAAACTAAGATGTTTCGCGCTTCTTTTGTATTATGATAAATCTCAACACAAAATCACATCACAAGCTCAGAATGCAAAGAAAAAAATTCGCAAACAATTCGGTGGATGATGGGTTACAAATTTGTTAGATATCGTCAATGTACCAAATGTGTGTGCAAAACACACTTACACACACAGCAACCAGATGGATGGTGCGTCGAGAAAGAAAATGAGTGAAAAAGAAATTGCGCGTACATTGCTATACATTTCTTAGAATGTTCGCGATGATGCTCGATGAAGTGATGTGTGCGCATTAGACATGAGAGGCATCACGTTTACACAATAATGCACAGAAGAAGAAACAATCAAAAAACAATCATCCATATTGAAAATAGCGGTTCAATTGTGCTACACAACGAAGAGATTCGGTCAGTCCAAGCAGTTTCTTTGAGCATCAGTATCAGCATAGCATATTTCATAATAATTCAACAATTGGATTCGATGTGAGAAAGAAAAAAAAACAGAAAATTGATCAGTTATGATTCGGTTCGATAGAAAAATGTCGAATTTTATAAGTCGGATCTTTGAACTCGATTGGGTTCACACGGTTGAATGTTTGGTATTTCAATCATATGTTCTTAGCAGAAGTCCATCGAGTACTTGGGCAGACGGTCAGCATGGGCAAAGTTGAAGAATTCATAAGCGCAAAAGCCATTTGGAATATTCGGAATTTGGAGATAAGATTTTTCAACGGTGATCATCTCATGAGGAATATCATTTTGTGTCTACTGCGATTGCAAAGGTGCAAGAATGCCAAATAGAAGAGTACGTGTGGAAAAAAAAACTTCAAGTTGGAACAGTGCAATAGAACGAGCATGCAAATGTGCGTGATATTGGCACTGTCCATCGCCCATCGTTTGTATATTGTTTATGATCGTTATCGTATACATCATATGGCCAATACTTGAAACAAAACTAAAACAAATGATAGTATAAACATGACGATGTGTGTTAACTGCTCAGAAAATATTACGAAGAAGAAAACAAAGCCGAAGCGCACACGTTCACACAAAGCCAATTCGTAGCATAAGTTTTGCTTATAAACTGCTGCGGTATTTCTATTGTACGTGCGGTGTGTTTTTTGTTGTGTGTACGTATTTGAATAGTGCTGAATGTATGTGCGCCTGGTCATACCATTTCGCCGTTAAATCCACTACATCCATCTCTCTTTTGATATCGTTCTCCTTCGCTCTCACGGCTATGCACACCGAATCAACGAAAATTCACATTTATGTTGATGTCGATGCTGTTTGCTGCTATTGCTATCGCTGTGGCTGTGGCTTTGGCTGTTGCTGCGATTACACTACATCGGTCGCTTGTATTGTTGGCTGTTGCTGCTTCGTTTCTGTTTCTCATACACTTTTTTTCTTAATAGTTCGTGCACAATGTTTGGATTCTCAGTTGAGTGATAAATGCGGAATCGAATAGATCATTCACTGTGTTGCTACTGTATAGAAATTTTTTGCTTTTCCTTCCCTTTTTTTAGTTTAAATAAAAACAAATCGATTTTATTTTCCGTTTTTTTTTTCAAAATTCGTTTTAAATTTTCAAATTTCTATTTCGATTCTGTTCGCTGTTCGCGTATATGTTCGACGTGCTGCTCGTCGCCTTCATCGTTTTTTTTTTCAATCGGAATATTGTTTTTAATTTCACTTCGGTGTGCGCGTTCGTTGTGGGTGTATGTGGGTTTTTAGTTTTAGTGCAACAACAACTGAAAACGAAAGAAAAAAAAAAGAAAAATTCGTACGTGATTTCTTCATTTTCATCATCTGAACCAATGTGCATATTCCAGCTAACAAAAGAAATCCGAATTTGACCGTTGTTTTGTTTTACGTCGTAAGTCCACCGCATGCTCATTTCTTTTTGCCCTTGATCTTGCCCTCATCTGATTATTTATCGGCCATCTGTTTAAAACCGATAAAAAAACCTGCCTTTGTTGTTGTTGTGATCGTTACAATCGAAAAATGAAAATACGCTGGCAAAACAATAAAAAAAAAACGCACCGATTTTGATTCGTTTGCGTTCAAGTGCCGTATATGGAATAATTTGTGAAAGAAAAAGAAGAAGAAACAACAGTTCCATTGTTATAAATTATATTGCAAGTAAAGCGCTAAATCAGATTACTGTAAATGAAGTGCTTTCTATTTTTGCTCTTCATTCACATTTGCGTTCACACTTCGGCATGGAAGAAAGAAGCAGCTGAAAAAAAAACCAACAACAACAGCAACACACAACCGTATAAACCACTCAGAGACGCGCTCACATTTGCGATCAATCGATTTTTGCTGAGTCGTAGAAATGTGGAAGAAATGTAGAAATGTTTAAAAATGAAAAAAACTAAGAAACAACGCATTCTCACAGCAGATCGAGTCGTTTTTGGCCAATTCCATTGGCGAGTGATTTTTTTTCCATCGATCGGTATTAAGAACATTTTAAATTGGTCAAACGGCTTGTGTGTGTATGTGTGTGTGTGGCAATAACATTTCGATCGATCGTTTCTGAATTGCTAATGATGTTGTTTTTTGTTCGTACTTCGCAGAAACAAAGAGGCAAGGAATCATAATAACTGTTTTTTGACTTATATTCGGAAGATTATTTTGGTTTCAGTGGTGTGTCGGCACTTTTTTTCCGCTCAATCGCTCATTCTGCCTTTTTTTGAACGAAAATAACAGAACCTATCATGTGTTGTGGCCATAATCAATGGAACATCAATAACAGGACATTGCAATTTTGATATCGATTTGCACTGTTTTGCCGCACAAATAAAGATTGACAGTACACGGTACATTTTAATCGGTCTTTATCTCGAAAGTAAATTCAACTTTCAATTGCAATGATTACAAATATTGATCATCAATCATATGGCCAATACTCTAACGGACTCACGTGTTCGACACAAATCTCTACAGTTATACACCAGTTTGCCCACTTAGAATGAAGTGGGAAAAAAAACAACGTAACAAGTTAGATTGTTCCTAGTTCTTTGTTTGCGATAAAATTACACGTGCAATAGCATTTTCACATTGAATTAATACTGGTGAATCACTCAATTATGATTGAGTCAGTAATTTTATGGTTCTTATCATTACCGCAATTCAAATCTAATATAAATTGCCCACTTCGAAGAAAAACACAATGTTGTGAGATGAAAAAAAGCCCAAATTGTCGCAAGTTGCATCTTGAATTGTGTACTACTTTTGGAAAGAAACAATTTGAACATTTCATGTGTGTGTGCGCACACGAGCTCACACACAAAACGAAAGTCACACACAACAAGTTGAGTGCAGCCAATCTCCTCATATCGATAAAAGAGCCAATAGTGAAAGAAACCGAAAATGATGGAATTGAAAAAAAAGAAGAATACTCGCTCACCGATCACAGCACGCGCGCACACTTGACTTGGTTTGGCTGGGCAAGAATACGTGTGAGCGCACTCAGCGATGATTGACCCCAAAACCAAATCCAAATGGCCGCATTTTTTTTCGTCATTCACACAAGCGTTTGTCTTCGATGAAGACTCGTCGTCGTCGTCGTCGTCGTCGTCGTCGTCGTCGTCGTCGTCGTCGTCATCGTCATCGTCGTCGTTGTCGTTGTTGTTGTTGTTGTTGTTGTTGTTGTCATGGTTTTTTTTGTCGCAACTCTTATTATTTTCCTTTTATTTTGGGTTATTCATTCAATTTCATCGTCATCATCGTCATGATTGTTCGTTATTCTTGACAATGACAACTGGCTACTATCATTTTGGTCGCTTGGAATTTCGATGCTGTAGCATACGCATGCGATGTTTCAATATTTTCATTTTTATTCGGTATAAGATAACAATCAATCACAGCATGCCTTAGATAGATTTTAATTATGAATATAAAAATGAGATTCTTTTTCAGTAAAATTATTGTGGTAGTAAATTTTGTTTATGAAAATGTCTAAAGTCTTCGTTATCACGCATTTCATCCGGAATTCGATTTCATAGTTTCGTGTAATGATAATTTAGGTGCAGCGATGTCTTATGAAAATTATTTGTTAGCTTTTGTATAATCACCAATTGTGTGTATGTACCGTAAATATTTTATTTTTATTGATTTATAATGGTGTTGAATAAAGGAAAACAGCATTCTTCACATATTCGTTCTGATCACAATTTGGTTGAATTTTAATTTTACATTTTAAATTATGGTAGATCATGGTCCATATAGTCAATTATTTGGCAAAGTTAATATTTTGTATAATTCAAGTTTTATACCAGATGGTAGAACTGTTTTGAGTATTTAACGCTTCAAAAACTTTTTGCTGTATGATTTTTGTGTGATGATCATTTGTATTCATTCGTCATTTAGTTGAAATGCCAAATCTCTGACATTATCGACGAATTCAATTTCTTTTCCATTTACACATACTTTTGATAATAATTCATAGTTCAGTTTATGTAAATTGTTTTTGGATGATATTTTGTGTTTTCCTGCATTTATATCTATCCGACACAGAATTGTTCAATTTATTTTTAATATCATCATCAACAGTTTTGATGCCATCATCAATTTTATCAAAATATCGCATCAATGTAAATTTGTAGATTTATTTTTACGTCCAAATTGCAGAACTAATGCTTGTGAGTGTGCGACTCACCGACTCTAAAATTTAGAACTGTTTGTCGCTGCGATAAATTTTGCAGCATGTGTATTACGTGGTTGTCATCCAAAACGTTCTTTCTCTTAATTTATGCGCACTTCAAGAGCTCCGACAGACTTGTTTTCATTCTTCTTTTACTGCTGTTGCTGTCGTCCAAAGAATGCTAAAGAAAGCGATGGCGTTCTTTTGAAGCAATGAATCACTATGTACACACATACATACGTTGATCCGCAAATCGAAGGAAACACACTTGTGAGTATGGTTTTGTTTTGTGTTGGTCCAAAACACAAACGAATGCAAATGGTTCGTCGCCAAGGCATGCTCATCAGCATAATAATTACGCGTTTTCTTTTTATTGAAAAAAAAAAAAACGGAGAGAGAGAGAGAGATAACCAAGAAATACCAACCAACTGGTGTTGTGCCAGTTTTAAATGGAGAAAGAGATTTTTTTTTTGTTCCAAAACCAACCATGACTAACGCAATGCACAACATTTGTTTTTTGCAAGCAACAACAACAACAACAAAAAACAAAAAGGTAGCCAACAGCTGCCGTAGCAGCAGCATTTGGCGCCCATTCGCCACTTGGAACGTGATACAAATATGTGTTTTTTGAATGAACTCAATTATCGCAAGAAAATGGAATAATTTCTGGGTTTCTGTAGGGCGTCGAATGCATAAATCTCGTTGCATTTTCACTTTGTTGCTATGCTGATGACGTCATTTGAATTTGTGGCGTGTGAATGTGTGTAAATCTTGGCATCAATTTAAAATGCCAAAGAATTTGCACCGCTTTTTGTTTCGTATATCAGAGATAAATGGTTTAAATACCTTCGAATGAAAAATGCAAATTGAAGTGAAGAGAAAAAGAGAGAAAAAAAAGCGCCAACACACAAATTGGTGCGCAAAATGATTCAAGTTTAAGGCTAGAAGCCGTGCGCCGCACACTTTGAATTATCCCGTTACCAATTTAAATCATGCAGAACGATTTGACTGACTCATTAAACCGAAATGATCAAAAACGATTGAGAGAATATTTCGTTTAGCTGTGAAATCCGCTCATGTATTTAGTTCAAAAGAGGCGAAAAGTAGCATTCAAATGAAATTGTCGTTAACCGTTCGGGTACTGCAAACGAGATCAGTCCAATCGTCTTCACTTCCACAATCAAACAGCAACAACAACAAAAAACAGTGTTAGAAGTGTGATGCCAATTGAACGAGTGTGAGTCATTTTTTATGGTCAATTTTCACCTCAATCAAAATACACACAACAAGAAGAAGTCGAAGAAAAAACAAATTGTAAACGAAATCAGGCTAGACACACTCAGCGTTGCTGCTGCTGTTGTTGTTCGAAATTTATATATGCGCAATGCTTGAATTACGCTTTTTATGCGCTATCGGTGAGTTGTGCGTACGCTTGCGTACATTTGTGCCGATCCCAGTCTCTCTCTCACTCTCTCTCTCTCTCTCTCTCTGTCTGTCTCTCTCTCTCTCTGTGTGTGTGTGTGTGTGTGCGTGTGTGTTTTTTTTTCACGAGCACATGCGATTCATTCCTGGGCATTGATTGGAATTCCTATGTTTTGTGTATAACAAATTCTATTCTTGTTGGTTGAAATACAGCGTATTCATGTCCGCGATTATGCCAATGACAGAAATGATCTTTTAATACCGAATTTGTGTTTTTTCTGTGTGTTGAAGGTTTAATATCCGGCATGGGGGCGGCAATCTATTGAATAGTAACGAACAAAGGGCATGCCATTTTGTTGTCTCATTCACATTACCTTTGATTTATTTATTTTTTTCATATTGATTGTTAAACCATGCAAAATTCGATGTCAAAGCGAGCGATATCGTGAATCGGAAACAGATCAAAATCACATAGTCGATGTTTTATATGTATATTTTCGATTGAAATCAGTGTTCATGTCCAAAGAACGTCAATTATATACATTTGCTAGATCCCTTAATAGAAATGACGTGCGACTTTTTATGCCGTGATAGCGAATAAAATAATTGATTTTTGTGATGAAGCGTTGTGTATGCATCTTTATCATGTTGAGCAACGGAAGGAAAAAAAAAACGGGCAAAGATTGCTCACATGACGTGCTATGGATTCAGGTCAATCCAGAGGCAAAACAATGAAGAGCGTTAGGTCATTGTGAGATGATATTTTGTTTGAAAATGTCAACATTCGCAAAATGAAACAAATTTCCTCAATTGAAATGAACTTTTTCTCCCCCCAATGTCTTTACATCATTGACCAATTGTCTGTCTCACTTGGCTATCGCTGAGATATTGCCTCAAATTTCATAACAAAAGCCATTCGGTCTATTTTCTGGTTCCAATCATTTGAAATGTGTTTGTATCAACTTAAGACAGACAACATCTCTCCATCTCTGCAGCGTGTCTGTATATTTTTGTTTGTACGCGATTTTTACACACGCTCAATTCAACGTATGAAAGAAACAAAAACAATTCACACACATGAGAGGTCAATTGATAATTCACACCGACATAATTATTTTCATTTTGCGTTGAGATTACAGCAAGAGTGTAAGAAATACGACTTAAAGGCAAACTATTCGACAATTTTTCAGAAACCAACACTTGTTAAATGAGTGAGCATACGTCGAGGGAAACAGCAAAATGCGCAAAATTCAAAAAAGCTACTAAGTGACCGAGAGCGAGCGAGAGAGTGTGTGTGTGAGAGAGAAAGAGCAAAGGGAACCAAAACCAAGAGTGAGAGTGAGTGCGCGCAACAGAGCGAGAGAAGGAGCGAGAGGCAGTAGTCAGTAGTAGTCTTCGTCGTCGTCTTCGTCGTCCAGAGGTAGTACAGCAACCAACCAAAAAAACCAAATACCGACTATCGAATCCAACATTTCTTTCATGTTACTCGATTTCGATTGATTTCGCTGGATATCCGCAACAAGTAAGTGCTTTTTTTTCTTACTCTCTAAATCATTATAGAATCTAAGAAATTCCTCATTTTGTATGAATGATTATCTTTTTCTGGTCTTGTTCTTATTATCAGTACGATAGTTTTTTTTTAGCGTATGATTGGTTTTTGGGTTGGGAATGCAAACACTTTCATTTGAAAATGACAATGTGCGAATTAATCTTCAAAACAATCTTATTCTTACCAACGATCATTCTCTGAAAATAGGTCATTTGAGAAGTAAAAAAAAAAATGCGAATAAATTTTCGGCAGTTGAGACTTATTTTGTGGTTTTGTTTGAATAAAAATTACCCAAATGATTTTCAACAAATTTATTTCAGTTTGCACTAGTTTCTTTTTTTCTTCCTATTCTATCTTTGGCTGCAAGCCTACATGTTTTATATAATTCCATCCAATAATAGTTTCTGTGTCAGATTTGTATTCTATTCTGAAAACCAGTTTTTTTTTCTTTGTGTTGAAAGAAAGTGACATTGTTACACTCCAAAAAATTGTACGATAGAATATAAACCAAGTTCATAGAAAAGAGAATGAACAAAATTAACGTCGACAAAACTGGAATTTTTTTTTCGATCCTGGATAGATTACAACGCGATTACCGAATTTCATCGATCAATAGAAACCGGCCATTAACTTGTTTTTTGACTTCAAGATTCGTTCATTGTTTTGGTTTACTTCCGACTCAATTTCTCAGCTTTTTGAAAGTCGTTGACTGTGGTTCAATTTCCATAAAAAAGCGAGTCATTAATACGAATGACGATTTATTTTACTTTTTTTTCAGGCAGAGATTTCAATGGTAAACAAGTTTGTTTGCGTTTTTAAGAGATTCTCGGTTGCCTTTTTTCAAATCTCTCTCTCTCTCTCTCTCTCTCTCTCTCTCTCTCTCTCTCTCTCTCTCTTGCTCACTTCAGGTGGGAAAAGCACTTTTATTGAATCTCTTCGGCGTTTTTTTAATACCACTTTGAATAGCTAATGTGAGATCGTTTTCGGCTGTTGCTGTTTTTTTTTTTGGAAGACAAAGTATAGGTGTGTGTGTGTGTGTGTCTTTTTATAAAGACGAAGAAACCGTTAGTTTGTTCCATACACAAATCTATATAGTATAACTACGGTGAAATGACCCACTTCTCTCTGTCTTTATTATTTAATAGGAATTTCAAAAGATATGCAAACTATTTGATTGGTTGGAAAAACCCGAAGCAATGTTTATTTCTCTCTGGCAGTTTCTCGATGGATCGACAACGACGACGATGATGATAATTGGAACGATTTTTTTTTCTTCAAGTCATATAAAAATGGGTTGTCACTTTCGTTCACTCCGTTCCATTCCGTGTTCGAGGCAGAGATGGGAGTCAGGTGAAAAACATGTTTCTTGTCATTTTCACTGTCGGCCAATTTTCAATTTAGAGCACCCAAAGCACTTGACCTTGGATTCATTTCACCCGAAAGTTCTCAACTTTCCAAAAAAAAAAACCAAAAAAAAACAAACTACAAACGCAGAACCACGCACGTCCAGTTGGACCATTCAACCAAGCTTTTCACCATAAAAGTACCTTTTGACGTCATTAAGACGCATTTTAAATTTATTTTTTACCGTACAAAATACCGGACTAAATGCGTGAAAATAGGTGAAAGTAGTGTGTATGTAAAGTGGCTTTGTGAATCGATATCAGTTGAATCAGAATAACTTTAAATGACCATTAAATGCGTAGTCTCCCTCCCGCGCCGTAGACCGATGAATGGAAAGTGAAATATATCCATAGAGTAGCTATAATCGTTCAATACAACACGTCACAGTCTATACATAACAATTCGTCGACAAGATTCACATTTTTCATCCAATTATCCGGAATAGTATGTATAATGACGAGTAGCATAGTGCTGGATGATGGACAGTCAAGGTGGTGTGTTCTTTGTATTCTATTTTCAATAGACGTTTTCAGTTGTTTGTTTTCCGGTCAAGTTCACAAACCGAACAACATATCAGTGTCATAAAGTGATTCGTGCCAACTGGGTATTGTCAAACAGTTTAGTGAAGCAAAACATTCACCCTCGCCTATTGATTTAATCGAATGGTTTTCATTATCGAAAAATCATTTTTTAATGGTGTTTGTTCTTATGCTTCCGTTGAACAAAAAAAGCCGCTTTCAATTGAAGTGCGTTTCATTAGTAATTAAAAAGCAATAAAAAAGATACGAATTGTCAAAAATGAATAAGCACTTGAGTTGTGTTTGTTGTGCTGTTATTGATTGCTTCTTTTTTGTCCGATAAGATAGTTGAATGTAATGTTTGTGTGTGTGTGGCCGCAGTATTGGAAAGTAATCTTGAAACGGAACTAGCTAGAACACAATAATTATGATCAACGTGAATGAATACACTTCAGAGCTACGCTTATCACGATTTCCTATCAGTAGTAGAACAACGAAAACACTAGATCTTTTAATCTAATTGAATGGTTTGCGTGCGCTCGTTAAACTCTAATTCCCATGTTTAAGATGTGGTGGGTGCACTTATTGCCAAATCATTTTCATTGCAAAATGCAATTCGTCATGATGCAATAACGACCATTGCCAATAATGACATTTAGCAACCGTGTTCCGAATGAAAATTGAAAAATCATTGAACTTCGAAGTTTAGTATTCAATTCAGTTCCACTTTCTACTTGCTTATAAGCGCTCGTTAGCAATAAAAATGTGAGCTATTTTCGGAAACCACAAATCGAGATAAACACATAAAATACGCATTTCTGCTTTGAACCGCGAATTCGTACAAAATTTATGACTAATCCATTTGGGATGTTCAATGAACTTTCTGTTTTGATAATCACTCGAAACGCAGTCTCTCGAGCCGTTTCGAGTGTGATAAAGTGGGCATTTTTTCTCGTGAGCATTGCTTGTCATACAAAATAACTTGAAACAATTGTTTCGTATCAGCAACAATTATTCTGAAACACACACACACACACACACACACAGTGCTCCGAATTGCACCAGAAATGCAAACCATTTGTCGTTCCACATTCAAATAATCCTTTGTTGTTTTGAGCATTATATACCAATCACTCACAGTCGCACGAACGATAATGATCAATAATAAATTAAATAGATTTTAATTGATAATGTATACGGTGTGATTGTATTTATGAGTGTTTCTCGACCGCTCTTTGTTTCTTCTTCACATTTATCATTTGCTATTCCGTTCAACTTTTCCTTCTTGCGATATGTGAATTGCCTTTTCTTCTGTTGTTGTTTATTTGCGTGCGTTTGTGATAGTATTTATGTATGTGTGTGTGTGTGTGTGTGTGTGTGTTTGTGCATTGATTTGATTTGTTTTGTTCCTTAAATAAACAGCTGCGATCACTGCCGAGCGCTCAGTTAACTAGCGATTGTCAGCGAATTCAAATTAAATTTTGTGTCTGAATATAAATATAACAAAATCAGTTTCTGTTTCTCTCTCAATCTCATTTCAGTTGAATTAATTGAACGTTTTTGACTCGTTTAACGTTCATCGCACGAATAATACACGCACTTAGTTATATACCATCCGGGCGAGCGAACGAGAACGTACGTGCGCGCAGTCAAATCAACAGAAAAAAAATAACGTTTCTGATAGCATAAAAAAATCATTTAAATCATCTCTCAAGTGCGATAGAAAGATTAATTTCGAACAAAACTAAACAAAGAAAAAATAACACAAAAATAATGAAAATTCAATATGAATTATCGGCCATCGTTTATAAGTTACTTTTATTGCTTTTACTTTTAACGAATGTGAATGGATTACCGTTTTTATTCGGCACCTCATACGGAAATCGCGATCATATGGTTGAATATCAAACACCGGACGACAAATGGAACATAACAAGCGTTCCACGCAGCATAATACCACACATCGGCACACTGAATTCCACACAAAATCATGTCATACCGCCACGAAAAACCGAAGAGCAACTCGAAGACGAAATTCTTCGACGGCTTCATGAGATAAAAGTAAGTTAAACAGAGAAAAAAAAAGAGTCAGAAATGGAAGGAGAAAATCTTTTGTTGGAATTTTAATTGAGAAAAAAAAACCATTTAGATAGATTTTGCTACCCAATCGGAATTTAAATCGTTGATTGATTTTAATTTGCCATTTACGTATAACATATTTTTGTTTTGTTTTGTTTTTTTTCCAATCAATCGCAGGACAGCAACGATACAGTGGCTAGCGGTCGTATGCTATGGTTTGATACAACCGATTTGATGCATTATCCGCCATTTGTTGATAAAACATTGAAGCTGTTCAATTTGAAGCAAGTTGCACACGAGCTGGAAACAAGTGTTATGTCGAAAGTGTCGTGCACAGCATGCAAAGCAGGTTCGTTATCGCTTGGCAGTTTGCATTTGCCAACTGTCGCTAACCTCTTTAGATAAACGAAATACTGATGATTGCGTGCGGTTTTTTTTCTATTCTGCTCTGGCATTTTAGGTGCGGGTCTGTTGATGCACTACATCAAAACGGGCAAAAGCAATGAGGAGATTATTAAAATGATTTATCAGTTTTGTGTGAATTTAAAACTTCAATCGGCACGAGTGTGCGATGGTGTGAGTCATTTGTTTGGTACCGAGGTGATATATGTATTGAAGCGTGTAACAATTGGCCCCGATGAAATTTGTAGCTTTGTGATTGGTGACGCTTGTGGCGATGTTTATAATCCGTTGCACGATTGGGATGTTACATTTCCACCGGTGCCAAAGCCAGAGGTGCATGACATTCCGTTGCCAAAAGAGGGCTTCCCAACATTTAAAGTGCTTCATTTGTCTGACACACATTATGATCCATACTATACGGAAGGTGCGAATGCCGATTGCAATGAACCACTTTGTTGCCGTTTAACACATGGCCGACCGAATACACCGCACAATGCAGCCGGTAAATGGGGCGATTATCGTAAATGCGATACACCCAAACGGACCATTGACCATCTATTGGATCACATTGCTGAAACACACACGGTGAGACAATAGGTACTAAAGGCGATTCGCTTTTATACATAAGAAATGTGCCTATGATTGATATTTTAGGACATTGATTACATTGTTTGGACAGGTGATCTGGTGCCCCATGATGTTTGGAACCAAACAAAAGAGGAAAATTTGAAAATCATCAAAGACACCGTCAAACAAATGTCGGAGAAATTCCCGGGCATTCCAATCTTTCCAGCTTTAGGCAATCACGAAAGTGCACCAGTCAACAGGTATGGAAATTGGAATTTTGGCTATCCACGGAATTTATTGTTAACGTTTAGTCGTTGTTTTGTTTTTGTAGTTTCCCGCCACCATTTGTGCAACAGCAAGATATTTCGATTTCATGGTTGTACGATGAATTGGATACACTGTGGCGTCGCTGGCTACCGGCTAGCGTATCACATACGATTCGACGCGGTGCATTTTATTCAGTACTTGTACGACCCGGATTCCGTATCATTTCGTTGAACATGAACTATTGTAATAACAAAAATTGGTGGCTTTTACTCAACTCCACCGATCCGGCCACCGAACTTCAATGGTTCATCTATGAACTCCAGAGTGCCGAATTTTCCAACGAAAAAGTGCACATTGTCGGTCACATTCCGCCCGGTCATCCAGATTGTTTAAAAGTATGGTCACGCAATTACTACGACATTATCGCACGATACGAGAGCACCGTCACCGCACAATTCTTTGGACACACTCACTTCGATGAATTTGAAGTGTTCTACGATCCAAAAGACTTGAGTAAATACCATTTTTTTTCTACAAAAATTTTCATTTTAAAATAGCATTCTTTGGAGTTAATATGAGCAAATGCTCGCTGTCAGATTAATTTTAATTGAAAATCCAAAAATATTTCTCCAAATGTTATAGGTCGTGCCACAAATGTTGCATATATTGGACCATCGGTAACGCCATATGATAACCTAAATCCCGGTTATCGAATTTACTACGTCGACGGTGATCATGATGCAACCACACGGTTGGTCATTGACCATGAAAATTGGATAATGAATTTGAAGGAGGCAAACTTATATGACTATCCCATCTGGTATAAACTGTATTCCACACGATACGCATACTCGATGCGAGGTTTACGACCAGTTGATTGGGATGAATTAATCAATACAATGACTAATAACGATGAAATATTCGATTTGTATTACAAGTAAGTAGAATGGGCGATAAATTCCGAAAAAAATCTCTTCTGAAATACTTTTGAACACAAAATCAGACACATTTATGAAGAAATGAAAACGAAAGAATTTCTTTGAAAAATTCTGATAAGAATTTCAAACAAATCACATATTCTTTTTTATTCACACAAATTTTTCTGTTCTTTTCTTTCGTTTCAAGGCATTATTGGAAGAATTCACCGCTCCGGCCGCAGTGTTTGTTCGAATGTAAGAAGCACATTCTTTGCCAGGCCAAGAGTGGCCGAAGTCATGACCGGAGGCATTTTTGTGAAGGTGTCGAATCAAAAATCGACGAAGGCAATTCCAAGAGCTGGGGTGCCTGGTTCTATCGTGGACTTAGTGTTTCGTAAGCATCGAACTTTGTTTTTTGTTTGGTAAAAATTACTCCCCAATTTTCATCACATCTTCATTTTTTTTTTCATACGCACCTAAACCCATTCAATTTGTATATTTTGAAGTGAATTTTCAAATTATTTTCGCATCAATCCCAATAAACCTATTCTTCTTTTTTACTTTCAAATTTTTGGTTTTCACTTGGTGATATGGTCAATATTATTCAAATGGTGATGGATACTAACCAAAATAAAAAAAAATCACATAAAAACTGATCTATATTAGATCAACACCAGAGTCAATCACAAACAATGACACAATTTCTGATATGATATCAACTAACGAAGTAACACCAGTTAAACATACAGAATCGTCTGACATCAATGAAAAATACTTGGAACAAGTGTCAAAGTTGATGACCATCGTTGAGTCATCAACGGAATTTGAACAATCTACCGACGGCGGTCGGATGGCCGACACCACAACCGAAACCACTTCGAATGATATCAATTTGTCAAAGATATTCAGTGTTATTTGTATTTGGTGTTAAGTCATCTCTTTTTTATAAAAAAATATTGTATATGAAATATGTTAATATTTAGATGTGTGTAAGAAGCCTTTGTTTTCAGAAATCTAACCTTTGATTCTCGAACTTTGAATGGTTTGGGGTCTATTCTTGTTCAGTTGTTTTTCTTCTTCAATATATAATCTAACTACTCTTTGATAGTTTAATCATGTAAATAGAACAATAACCACTGTAAGCTATTAACATACAATAAAGTGATAGTCCCACTTGATAAATATAATCGGTATTTTGTTGATAATTTCTATTTGAATTACGTCTGGACTGACGACGACCATCTCCACCACCACCACCACTACAACAACAACAAACAACAACAACAACATCATCAAACAACAGAATGAATGTTATCATGTCAATTACGAAGCTGCCCAAATACGTCATGGGATTCGGCTAGTTCCGTTGTGAATACATTAACAGCCGCAGTGGCCAGTAGCAAATCCATCAGCACCAATTCATCACCTGCAGCAGCAAACATCAAACAAACAAAATATAACAAACTAATTTATTTATCTACTCGAAAGCGAACGAACGGTAATCATCATTGTGTGTACACACACACACACACACATCCACAATTTCAATTCCGATACAAACGAGGAAAAACAACAACAAAAAACGAAACACATAGAGAGAAATGAGATGGCATCAATTATAAATTAATTACTAATTTATAATGCATTTTTAAGAATTAGTACTCGAATTCACTTCTCTTTTGTAAACTTAATTTATTTAAAAGAAAATAAACGAAGGCCTTGTGATAAAATAAAGTAACTGAACACTGCTATGACGAGATAAAAGAGGAAAAAAAACCACATAATAAAAAGAATTACAAAAAAAGAGATGTTGACAAAAATTTAAATGACACACGTGTACTTTTATTTCACTTTCTTTTTTTTCTTGCTGCAGCGGACAAAAATAAAGGCAACACTGAACCAGATTAAGGTAATTCCTATCTCTTGTTCGTGAAATCGCGGTCTTATATTAATGTGCATTCAATTCGTTGATTGCTAGTTGAATCGTAAGATATTGAAAGGTTCAAGGTGAAATTTATGCTAACGCTAATTAAATTAAATTATTTCGAATTCTCGCAAAAATTCCATATTTCGATTTAAATTGCATCTATTACACTAGTTGAATAACGCTCACTTTGTCCACATTTGCATTCAATTCTCATTCCATTTCCTGTGGTTGACATGGCGTAATGAGAACCATCTGTTAAAATTAAACGTGAATTCCATGCAAATTTGAATTTTGCTAATGATCATTAGCTATTGAACCAGTTTTCATTGTTGGAACTATTAATTCGTAATGAGCAAAACAGAAAAAACAACAACAACTTTTTAAATTATTTTTCATCACTTTTTTTTATTCAAATAAAGTATGGAGTTTGTACGCTTGATCAAGATCTTTGGTTGGGATGTTTTTCATTACCAACCGCTGCTCCAGCCGTTGTTTCCACCGCTATTGGACCAACCACTATCACCTCCGTATCCACCTATACGAATGACACATATTAAATATTACGATGATAGTATAAAACATTGAAATTGTCATTGTGCAACCAATCGAAAGCTATCAATAGAGAACTCCAACTATACCTGATGAGTAGCCTCCACTTGATGGGACAGTGTAGACATGATAGACTTGAGCTGGTGCTGAATAGCCACCTGATGAGTAGCCACCACCATTTCCAGACCAACCTCCGTGTCCACCTGGATTTATATAAATTTGTAATTAGATTTGATATGTTTCAATGTTTAATTATTATCAACATTTTATGCAAAATATATTTCGGTACCTGATGAATAGCCACCGCCTGATGATCCTCCGTTAACGTGAATTACCTGTTAAATTTAGGTGAATTTTTTTTCGTTATGTCATTTGTTCAGTTGATGTGCAACATTAATTAAATATTTAACAATAGATCAAGAATTTTCTTCTGATCTTGATACGAAATCAAAAATCAACAAGCATAATACATACTTTGATAGTTTGGGTGTTACCGCCGCCTCCACCACCACCGCCGAATTTTGACTGCAAAAGGGATCCAAGATTCACGCCTCCTCCACTTGAACCTCCTCCAGAGCCACCAAACTTCGATCCGAGAAGAGATCCAATATTAAGTCCTGCATTCGCAACAGCGAATAAAGCCACTAAACAAATGAACACCTGAAATCACCACAATTCACAGAATAAAAATATCTTTTTGTTCAGAAAACTTCTTTCGAATGATAAATGTTACAAATCGGTGTACCTTCATATTGAAATAAAAGAATAAATCTATGAACACTTCAGCAACGAATAGGCAACTGATTGAGGATTCTTGTGTGTCGCATGTTTATATATCGTCCGATTGTCCAGAGAATGATCCTAATGAATTCATAGCAAAGTAGAATTTATTTATGCTTAAGTGAATGGTCACGCAACATCTTTTTCTTCTAATGAATTCAACGGTGAAAAAAACACATAAATGGAGAAAAAAAACCACAACAACAAGAATAGAATAGAATAGAATAAATTATTTGTATTGATAAATCGTTAAAGTCCAATAACAAGAATGGATTAGCTAAGGTACACATTACCTGTATACAGTCTGCCCTTCCGTCCTTCTGTCCTTCAGTGCTATTTTAGGAAGTGCGTGCAATTTTGGATTGTAGCCACATAAACGGTGAATTAGCCCAGCACTAATTTCATTCACCTTTATTTATCTTAAAAAAAATATAAAGTTCAAAACTGTTCCCTTTTACTTTCTGCATGTTTCAAAAGAATTATAACGAAGCTTCATTCATTTCCATGGCATACAAGCACCAAACAGTCTCGGTAAAATCCAAATGGCAACAGTCTAAAAGGTATGTTGAACGTCTCATCTCAAAAATATAAGGAAGTGATTAAAAATTCATAAGAAAAAGATATTATGAAATACATTTATTGGATTGAAAATAGACGCATAAAACAGGGTCGAGATCAACGCATTATTACATCATTGAATTTGATCACACACGCATTTTTTTTTCCTTCTAATTAATCAACGGAATGAAAGATTTTTCTTTGATAAGCACGAATTGTTTATTTTACTTGTCGAACCCTAGATCGAAACGTATCACCTCATTAGCATACTGGAGATTATGAATATGAAATAGTTGTGTTTTCCATTTAATCATTCTGAATTTCTTATTTTAGAAGCGGTTTAACGACGCACAAATAAGTCAAAAAATGTGAAAACCCGTTTTTGTCTCGCGTGCGATACAAATCCGAACATAATATCGAAAAAATTCTGAGCAAACATCGTATCGGGATGGTAGACAATTTTTTTTTCTAGTCGAAGAATAAGATTATTTGTTGAAATGAGAAGAAGAAAGATGACCTCAACCCGGTGACATCGTTTTGCATAATTTAAATACCATTTATCAAATGCCGCTAAATGATGAACGCTGACTCACATATCGTCGTTGATCATCTCAATGGGAACTTTGATGAAATAATGAAAACAAACAAATCACATACAATTCATCGTTTGCATTTTTTTTGTTCTGTTTTATTATGCTACATTTTTATCATTTAACGAATAAAAGATGTATACAAATTTATCATAATTAATTCACTTCTATTAGTATATATATATAAATTGAATGTTGTTTTTCTGTCGTAAATACCAAATCTAATTTGTTATCAACGTGTTTGTTATTGTTGTTTTTTTTTTCTCTGGGAATTGAAGAATATTCAGATAAAGCAAGTGATTGCATCCAATCGAATGCTGCTGCATTATTTGTTCGTTCGTATTTTTTGTTATTTTCTTTCGGTCATTGAACGAATTTTTGGCGCCAGTGGTTTTTGTAAAAAAAATTTTTCCACTTGATTTTTGTTGATTGTAGGAGCGCTTGCTTTGCATCCATTACGATCGTGTAACATAGCCCAGCGGAAACCATTTAATGAATTCCTCTCTTAGGTCTAATTGACCGAGGCTCAATTCGACACCGCCTAAAAATTCATTTTCCTGTAGCGAATCATGTGTCCAAACGGTGACCTGTAATAAACGATTTTGGATGTTCTCCAATGGCATTCGATATTCCAGCTAAATGAAGGTGAATGAATGAAATTAGTTGAAAAAAAAAAATTATTGGGCAAAGAATATAAAAATTATGCAAATCATTTACCGTTTCCATGAAGCTTGGGAAGCAATTTTTGCGAACGACTTTGGTTTTACGTTTTGTCATTTTCGTTGGATCTGGTTTTAAATAAGCTTTAACATATGTATTTGGCTCTTGACCACCGGTCGTCGGAGGCAGTGATCGGGCATGATAAATCTGTTAGAGAGAGAGAGAAGAAAATCATATGATAATCACATCGAATTATTATCATTATCAGATTCAGCATCGTTTTTAAATACTTACCATCACCGTCAAAGCGCCACGATGATACTGAACCGACAGTTTAATTTCACCACGAACATTCTCAGCCGGACTCGCGATTTGCCGGGTATCTGAGCGCATTGAAATGAACATTTTCGAAAGGGAGAGCAAAACAATATTAATTCTTGATTCTTTAATTAGAATAAATCATCGAAACGGCGTGAGGAATCGAGATGATAAATACCTTTCACTTTCGCAACATTTATATCTTGTTCTTGTTGATCGCGCAAAATCGGATGAAAGAACGTGTAGACTAAGTCTGAGTGAGCGATTTCATCAGCCGAATTGAATAGCGACACCAAGAAGAAACGAATCTCTGGCAAACGACGCTCAGCAACCGTTTTTATATTCGATCGACCCACATGAATGCCACTCGATAAACTGTTTGAACGAGAGATAGAGAGATATTTTTTAATGAAAAAAAAAAGAATAATTTTCACTGGAAAAAAGCCATTTTCAACGTGAGGAAATGAAGAATTTCTATTTAAATATCGAAAATGATGGCTGCGTTTACCTGTGAAGTTTAGCAAGTGGAAAATGAATGCACAATTTTTGGTGAAATTCTAAAAATTCTTTGTACGATCGGAATAGAAATGCTGGATCCGGTTGATTTTGTCGTGTCACCTTCAATATATACGTATAGTATTTCTCTAAATCGTAACGCTTTTGATATCCATGCACGGTAACGGATTTCAGTCGACCGTCTTGAGCCATTCTGCAAAGGCAAAGATACAATTTAATTTCACTCTTCCAAAATTTATGAAAGCTTCTTTGGCTTAGTCTTGAAGTTTCGTTCAAAATAGATAAAAAGACGTTCAATAAAAAAATAAAAAATCAACTTACGTGTATGTGCGCGGCACAAAGCTCAATAGTTCACCGTTGCACTCATCGCCGGTGAATCGCATTTGTGCCAAATTATGCAGGAAGAAATTGAACTGTGTGAACCAAGATTTGAGCGAAATATGAATGAGTTTGGCAAATGATGCAGCTGCTTCTGGATTCGATTGGCCTGGAAGTAATGCATTTCTCACATAGGTCACCGCATCGGCTGTAACGCCTGGAATGCCAGATGTCGCCATAAGTGCCAGCATATGCAATAGTAAATCACCATGTTTCCGTACAATATTAAATGCTTTGCAACACAAATCAACAAAATGTTGGAATTTAATCGATGGCTTATCGCCCATATTAATAACGTATGCCATGTCGGAAGTCAAAACGAATGGGGTGCGATCGCGTTTAAAATTGCCAAACATTTGAGCGTCGCCGAGAAATTTCCCAAAATCAATGTGGAACAAATGGCCCGATGTTTTCAACATAATATTGTCATTGTGACGATCACAAATGCCTAGAATATACGTGACCACGCTATAGCCCGCACAGGAAACCGTGAAATTATCAACGGCACGCTGATACTCCAATTGGCTTGGATTTTGCCGCTCCAGCCATTCGGCGATTGGTTTGTCTTTGAATGATCCCGTCAAACCCCATTCCACTTGAATTTTGCGCAGCGTTTCCGCATCCGTGACCATTTCAATCATGCCACGCTTGTGTCCCGTTGGCACACATTCAAATGTCACCATTTTCAGATCAATACCCTCTTCAAGCCACAGCCTATCCATCACCCGAACCAATTGAATGGTTAGCATGTCTTGTTGCAAATCGTCACCGGCTTTGAAAATGGCCGGCAAAATCATTCGATCTGGCCCAATGTAGCTGACTTTCAATGGGAGCGTGTTGGAATTGAAGTAGCCACACGATCTGGAATTGACAGCGGTCACTTCAAAACTTGGGCTCAACGGCAATGCCGTCGGTTGTTCGAGCAGAATTTGATTGACATTCTCCATGCCGTGCACCAGAACCTTTTGTCGTACGGATTCTTTTGCCTGTTTCACATTTAAGGCAACGTCAGCCAGACTCTTGCACATCATATTCTAGAAATAAGTAAACGAAAAAAAAATGAGTAAATATATCACGGTTGAAAAGAAATGCTTCATTTTACACTAATTGCAATTAAATTATAATAAAAGAAACATTTCGTACCTGGGCAAGGAATTTTCCAGTCAATCGTTCACCGCAAATGGCCATCAGAGCCCGAAGCATCATGAGATTACGTCGATTGTATCGTGCCATTGTGATGATTGCCTCTTCGATTTCGTTCGATTGCGTTTGATCGATGGTATTCTGCGGTGAATCGCCGGGCAAGCAGTGCACCAGTAGCCAATAGAGATGATGGGCAATACGGGGCGATTGAAGCGATCGTGTTATCAAAAATTCGGCCATAGCCGATGCTTCGTACGTATCATGTTTGAGTGCTTGCAGCAGTTGTGGCAAAAATGTGGTCAACTGATCGTTTGATATCGCTGACATCCATCGAACGGCATGCTCACGTATAACAATATCGGGATACCGTGGCAAAAACAACTCCAGCGCCTGTAGCGGTGAAAGCGGTTCCCATGATCGAATCAAGGCATGCAAATCGCTCACACTGTCATAGTCCCAGCTATGCGCTGTGTGCAATATCTTCGGTAAGGCATGCGGAAATTTATGTAAATACAAACGCTTTTCCCACAACACTTCGCGCTTGTCAAGTGCACTTGGATAACCCTGTTCAGCTGTATCGATCAGCTCCTGCTGGAGATTCTTATCGAGGCTGTTAAAATCGAGCCGCGTCGCAACGATATTTTGAGATATTTCTGGGAACACCACTTGTCCACCGTACGATGGAACGTTGATCGACAGTGTTGGACAATGATCACCGTGCGGATGTGTACCTTTCGATGGTGCTGGCCCGAGGAATTTATCGGTTGTTGGTGGCCATTGTGGCAATAAATATGATCCCTCGATCATTTGACGCTCAAAATCGAAGAACTGAATCGATGACCAGCCCAATTCAACTTTGGTCACCTTTCGATCTGGTCCACTTTCGGTTGTATCATTGTTTGCATTTGTGGCAGATCCTTCTGCCGGTTCAGTTGTACATCCATACAAAACGAAAATCAGTCTCGACTCTCTCGGTAAGGTACAAATCGGAATGCTATCAAATTGTAACCAAGAGTCAAATTTCAAATTTCGCAAAAACAGCCCACTTTTCTCATTCGAACACTGCATAACAACCGGTTCGCCGATATACCGTGTCCCATGATAGATCATCGCGCCCAGCATATAGTAATCGTGTTTCCAATGCGGTGGTATGCGATGCAAACACATCATGTGCACCATAACACTTTTGGACACTTGTGAAATTGGAATTGGATTCGTGTGGAACACCGTAGTGCTGACACAGAAATCGACACGAAATGCATGCGAAAATGTATCAATCAACGATTGAACGGATTCTCTGATGCGATTGCAACAGTGTTTGATTTGTTCGGCAATTGTTTTTGGTCTTAAATTGACTTTTGCATAATCGCCAACTTCGGTATCGACTTCAAGCATCGAACCTCCCACCAGCGACGATGCACCATCGTCATATCCATGGCTTTGGTTACGTGCAATCATCCGATTCAATGCATCTATAGCTGCCGCAATGCTTAACGTATCAATCGAACCGAATAGTGCGCATATCATTTTCACCGCTTGCACCACACCCGACTGTGAAATCGTTATGTGTGGCCGTGTATCGGTGGCGGTCGATTCAATTTTGGCAATTTCATCCTCCAGCGTTTCCAGTAAAATCATAAGACTATCGTAATTTATCGTTTCAACTGGCTCATGGGCTAGAATGTCCTCGGGTTTAATGTCCGCATCACGAATGTCATCCTGTTGCGTACGCGCTACACCATTGAGATTTGCATACGTTTTTGGCCACAATCCAAATTGCACATCTTGCTCCAGCTTGATACTCTGATGCACACAATCCAATTGGCTGAGTTTTGATGTTGGCCGCAACCATTCATTCACGCCAATCGGCTTTAAAATATAATCATCAAATTCATTGCCAGAACACTGTTGACCTTCTAACTCACAAAACACATGCGCTATCACATGTTCAACCGTTGTACAAACTAAAAATAACAATGATAATTATTACGAATGAGTTTTGGCTTGTGATTTGTTCTAGATGCTCGCTCGTTCTCGAGACGAGTCAAAATGAATGTCGTCAATTACTTACTATCACATGTAAACACAACAGGTGGTCCATAACCTTCGATTTGACCTTTTTGATTGTTAATCCCATTTTGATCGCTGACCGCATCCGATGCCATTTCAATGCCACTGTCACCTCCACTATTCCGATTTGTTGTTGTATGTTGGTTTACGCTCCCGCCCGGCAACAATGGATGCACCAACAATTTTATCTCCGTTCCCTCGGGATAGTGATTATTGTATTCAGCGGCAACAATGTGACCGACATTTGTTGTTTCGTCATTATATTTGAACTGAGACCGCACTCGTTTCACCTGAAATTACACATGAGTCATCGATAAGAGCGCAAACAATCTTTGAATTCATTTTTTAAAAAAAAATCATTTCTTTTTCGTCCTTTTTTTCTAAATGTTTTTTTTTTTTAACGTTCTTTCTTTTTTGCATTTTTTTTCGCATGTCATCGTTTAAAATTTCTTGTCGTTTCACTCACCATATTATAGAAGGCAAGTAGTTCAGCGTCATATGTTCGGTTTTCAATCACATTTTCATAGAGTTTCGTGGCGACTTTTAGGCGATCCACGCCGGTTTTGTTGCCGGTACGATTGACAATCGGCCGATTGGTTTCGGAGAAGGAAGCTGAATAATAAGCTGGCATTGCATTCCGTGGTGGTAATGGTGGTGCGGATGTTGTTGGTGAAATCGTCGTGAAATCGGGGAATTCATCGTCTCTCTCATCCCAATCGGGTGTGGTAAACGATGAATTTTCCAATTTTTTGCCAATTTCACTCAAGTCAATCGATTGACCCGATGCATTCGTTACGGCATACAGTTCATTATTTGTCATCGAAGCGGGTGTACGATCGATTTTAATGACGGCCTCATAAACCGGATCCGAATACTGTGTTCCACTGCTATACAAATAGTCAAAGGGATCACATTCCGAATAATATGATGTTCCACACTCCGAAGCGGCATCACCTGCAATGTATCCAAAAAAATCATCAAAATTATTTCGTTGATTTCAACGTGAAAAGTGAATGCGTCGTAAATGTCATTGGAATGAGTGGAAGAGAGCAAATGAGAAGAAAAATTAAATAAATTGCCATCGTACACATAGAAATTACATATTTGCTGCTACTATATTTACTATAACAAATTGATTCTCGCTTGAAATAGTAATTTAAATGCGTCATTATGAGTCTATTTTATTGTCGGTTTTTCTTCTCATATTCCGAAACTCCGTTGAACAGCTCACAGCGTTGAGTCGATCGGTTTATCGTTTTCGAAGTTAAATCATTGATGATATTAAATTCATTTCTTTCTTCTTTTTTTTTTCTTCTTTTGGCCACGGAAATCACCAATTTTTTTTTCTTTATCTACACTTAAATCACATCGATTGACGAACTCGTAGAAAAACCGAAATTTGTGTCTTATATATATTTTTAAAATAAATTTAAATCAATTTTTTGTGCGCAATCAAAGTAACAGCTTTAAAATATTTTAGAATAATCCATGATCACAGTGTATTTTGTTTGAGTTGTCGTAATACACAACTGTCAATATTCTATACATATAACACACACACACACACATGGATCAGAGGCCCACATACACACTATTGCATTTGTGAAGTGAAAAAAAAAAAAATAAAGGAGAAAAAAAACGTTCTAAAAATAATCACCCACACGCAATCAAACCAAATGGAATGGAAAGAAATTATGATGAAAAAAAATGAAAAAAAATAATAAATTCAACTGAAATGACGAAAACAGTTGAAATCACAATTTTATGCTAGTCAAATGACTACATGAGATTGACACATTATTAATTAGCATTTTTCGATTATGGACGTAACCGATTCGGTATATTTGTGTAAATCGAGTGAAATTTGAAATTGGTGTTTCTTCTTCGTGTTATTTTTCTTTTGCTCATCTTCGATTAAATTGAAATAAATTGTGTGTGTGTCGGTGTCGGTGTTTATATGAAGTGGATATGGTATTATTAGTTACCTTGATCGTTCACCTCACTGTTGTCGTTCAAAAGCAATGGATCAAATGCTTCTAGCACACTAACACGCAACCTATAACGACAATATCAAGCATTAAACAGGTAAAATCGCAATCTGTGTTTTTTTTTCTCTCTAAATTAATCAACTCACGTGTCCTCGATTCCATTGTCCAAATCGATAAGATCTTCACCCATCTGTTTGGCAGCAGTTGATGTTCGTCGTAGAACAATACTACGACTACTACCGCTGTTGCTATTATCACATAATTTGTTCGTTGATTTCGATGCTAAATTTGTAGACTCTTGTCCAAATGGAATGTTTTTCTTTTCAATACTGATCGGTTCCTTATTGGGGAGCTGCAATCATGATAAAAAAAAACGAAGGAGCTGTCAATTTTGTTTGAATATTAAAGAAAACGCAATATGTGTTTGCCAGAAATTGTGACGCTAAATATTCGTTGAAAACATTTAACGGTGACATACGTGAGCCAAGGCGGTTTCCTGATTTGTACTTGAATTCGACGCAAATGTCGACGAATGCGTTTGTTGCATAGCCATTGATTTGACTGTCATTGTGGTTTGTCGTTGTGTGTATAGATTTGGTGTTGCAGCCGCACTCAGTAAGGGTCGTTCGATTGACGGAACACCAGCCGATGATTGATATGCATATGGACACATTGAGCCCCGCGCTTTTTTACAAAAAACACAACAAAATAAATTCATTATTTTTTTCGTTTCTTTTTTTTTCAAATTTAAAACAATATTTTTGCGGTGTAACGTGAACTTTTTTTCTCCTTTAAAATCGGTGCATAAGAATGTCTATCAAATGACTCGAAGTGATTTAAAAAAAAAAATATTTGACTTGAAAAATAGAACTGAATCATCCTGGGTGTGAATTGAGTATGAATATAGATTTGATTGGGCCAGAAAATATGGGCGATAACAATGTAAATTACCATAGAGGGAGAAAATGATATCAATTTTATTTCACGCTAGAGTTAATATAAGTCGCAACAAAAATCTCGCTTCAAAGAGCTACGACCAAGTCATAGTCGTACTTTTATCGAGTGTGTAATTCAAAGCAACACTCAAGTACATAAATTTGTTCAAGGAAAAGTTTACAGTTTAAGGAGAAAGAAACATCGTTAGAGCATCAGAGAATATGGATCTTCAGTTGCTACTGCAATTTAGAAAAAAAACCAACTTTGTTGATTGTTTACACAGCGAACTAGACACCTACAGATTAATTACCGCACAACCAGCATAAAGATATTTATAAGTTTTCTGTTCTTGTGTAAACAACGTGAGTTTATTGCCATTATTGGATTCAATTTTGTTGATTAAATCAAATATATCTAGAATCTAGATGAAAAATGTTTGATACCTTGTTGCTGTAGATATGGCGTTGAGGTGAAATATTGAGCTGGACTTGTGTTGGCTTGTGCTAATGACATTTGGCTGGCAATGTTTGAATTGTGATTTGGTTGATGACCTAGGGCAATTCCACTCGGTACATTTGGAAAACTAACCATACCACTGACACCGGTCCCACTTCCGCCGCCGCCAATCATTGGCCGATTATACGGATTCATATTATAGAGTTTGGTGAGTTCATCTGGGTTCAGGGTTTTTCCTGTTTGTGCGGTATACGGCATCAATTGCATACTGCTTGCGTTTGAATTTGAAGTGGAGGCCGCATGTAGATAGCCCATCGATGACGAGAATTGTGCATTGCGTCTGAAATAGATACAACAGAAACGGGTAATAGCCATCAATATCAGTACAGTACCGTACTATTCAACCTCCTACTAGCTTAAAACAAAGCAGTACGATAGAAGGAGTGCTGCTACAGCTGAACAACATGTGCTCAAGTTATTAAAAGAACATTGATCGGTTGCAGTGAATGCGCGTGAAATCGGTTTATTTTTGTCCTCAAAAAAGATTCGCACATATTTGTTTTTGCTGTTCCTCTCTCTCTCTCTCTCTCTCTCTCTCTCTCTCTCTCTCTCTCTCTCTGTCTGTCTGTCTGTCTGTCTGTCTGTCTGTCTGTCTGTCTGTCTGTCTGTCTGTCTGTCTGTCTGTCTGTCTGTCTGTCTGTCTGTCTGTCTCTTTCTTGTATCGCGGAATGGATTATGAAAATAATTGATGTTTTTACCTATGAATTTCATCGACCATTTGCTTGAAATTTGAATGCGAATCACAAACGGGTGATGTGGCCAACGATGATGATGTTGTTGTTGTCGTCAATGCCGAGTCATTGGTCAATAGTAAATTATCATTGGAAATGCTTTCCGTGGGATTCGAAAATGATATTAAATCGGTATCATTGGGTTTGGATGTGTTTCGATTGGGATTCCGTTGTGTACTGGATGGTGGTGGTGCCAATGAACCGCTACTCGACGATGTGGGAAATGTTGTTGATTTTCCGCTGGCAGCGTACGATGTCGATGGTAAATTACCGAATGAGCCGGGTCGTGGTCGGGTCACCGATTGATTGGATTTTATACTTATCGATGATAAATTGCTATGTGCTGTAACGTTGACGGGATGAAAGACCGAAAATCGGATTAATTTTCATTTTTGGTGGGCATGAGCGGTAATTTTCCCGCAGAATGACTTACATGTTGAAAATTTCATAACACTACTAGTGATGACCGAGCTACCGCCGCCGGCGGCGCCGCCGCCATCGGTCACCGATGAGCCGGTCAATTGCAATGATTTGGTGCGATGAAACTCTTCAAGTGCTAATGTTTCCAAACTAAGCGCCGTCGCCTTTTCCAAATCTTCTTTGTATTGTTTGTCAAAATCCGTTTCGTTGGCATTTTGATTTTTAATGGGCCGTTCCATCGTTCGATATCATAAACTGGCCGGGTGTCACACAGATCTGATTATATCCTCCAACATCAATTCACAAATAAATTCGTTTTCGTTTTACTTTGTGTTTTTTTTTCTTCTTCTTTTCTTTCTACGATTAGTTTTGTTTCGTTTTACTTAATGGGTATATGTCAAAAAATATTGTTTTCTTCTGGAAATATTTATCACAATTATTGTTGCGCACTTCACGTGGTATTTGATACAATTTCACTTCTCGTTTTTTGTGGTTGTCGTGTGTGTGTGTGTGGTTGTGGTTGTGGTAATGCAAAAAAATCGACGACAATATGAAGACAGACACAAGAACAAAAAATAATAAATTATATGTAGTGTTAAAAAACAAGACCTTTGAGGGCTTTGTTTTGTGTGCCGTTTGCCGTATATTCTCTTCTTATTTTCACGCTTATTTTGATTCGGGGGGAGGAAGTGATATTTGACACAGAGACACAAGCACACACGGCCTAGCGTTGTTTGAATAATTTTCGCTTTCTTTTGCGTTGAATGATCGTCTGTTTACATTGTTGTTTGGTTTTCATAATTGATGTTTCAACGTCGTAATGTCTTCACATTTATTATTATCACACAAGACATGCATTATCTCATCCGCTTCTTGTATACATATATATATATATTCTACGCTGTTTTTCTATTCGTCTCTGGTTCTATCTATCTGGTATTGGTTGAGTTTTTTTTTCGGAAATTAGTCTGCGCCTCCTAATGAGATATTGAGCGTGAAACAATTCCTCGTCTCGTTAGTGGTGATTTGTTTATTTTTTATTTTTCTGTTTGCTTCTTTTCCTCGGTTTGGACTTTCAATATGAGCTGATCGGACAATGAGCTGAAACTGATAGCTGTCGAGAGACGATGCGGTGAGCGACAGAAAAATGGCAGCTGAGCCGTCGTCGTCGTAGCTGTTGTCGTCACATCTGATTCCAACACTCAATGAAAGCACGTCAACATTTCAATCCTTTTAAATTTGTTGTTGTTTTTTGTTTCTATTTTGCATTTAGGGAATTGCATTCACCCAATTCATTCGAACTGCTACGGTTGCTGTTACTTTTGCTGTTGTTGTGTCTTGTTTTGCGAATGTGGCTAACTTTTATTACACACCAGAGACTTTTCAATATTTAATTATGTTGTTGTTTACAATTGTTTACTGTTTTTTCGACATTTTTTTTTCTGCTTGCTTATTCACCGTAATAATTTCTCGGTAATTTTTGTTGAATGAACTTTCGAGCGAACTAATAAAAAAAAACCAATGAATTCGCTACTCCCTGGCTCCGTGGTTGTTTTTTATATTGTAGAATTGGAAAAAAATAGAATGGATTTGTTTTTTTTTTAAAGAGAGAATTGTATGCGAAAACAAAAGAGATACTAAAACAAAAACTCAACAATAAAATGGTCTTTTGCACTTTATTGTTGCTTCACTTGGCTCTGTGTTACTGTCAAAACTGTGAAACACAAGAAAAAATATGTAAGGTTTTTGATATGCTACTGGTTTCATCGTTGTGTGTCGTCTTCTTCTTCTTCTTAAATATCTTTTTTTTCTCTTCTACTTTTGCTTTTGGTGTGTGCTGCCTTTCTGTCGCACTTTATTATATCGAACGCAAATTGCAATGTTTGTCGATCATTTGGATGGTTTTCGTATCGGTCGATTGTATTGGTGCAACAAATACCGAGTGACAGCAGAGCAAGAGAGAGATTATGAAAATGCCGATGTGTGTTATTGAGTTCATACACACTACCATCAACATACGTGGGGAGCACACACAGATCAACGTTCAAAATTCGTCATTCAAACCAAAACCCAACGTAAATGAACCACTCATTATAACAGCTATGTGAATATATATCTTTCTCAGTGTTTTGCACGTTTATCATTACCATTACAATTACACATGCACACGGAGTGTGAGCGAAATGTCAAAACCGTTTACTGTGTGTATAACATACATGTTAGTGACCATGTACACTGGTATTGGTACTAGTAAGTAGTAAATTTTTGACAGCAAGCAGCAAAATATGGCAGCACCATACACAAAGAGCATATTCTACATAGAAATTAAGATACAAATATTCAAGTGTATTCGGTTGTCTTGTTTCAATTGACTTGCTCTTTCTCTGTCTCTCACTCTCTACACATCATTTTGTTGTTATTTGAATTTTATGTGTTGCCTTTTTTCCGTGCTCTCCGTACGTACTCTGATTTATACGTGTTTTTCGTTGTTTCGTATATCTTTTTCTGTGTGTCTCTTTATAATTTCATTGTTTGCTACGGCCTTTTTTTTGTTTTCGTCCATACAAAAAACGATGATGACAAAATAAAGCGATCACAACGGGAAAAACCGAAAATTTTAAGAATCAAATGAAATTCTGAAACTATAATTTAATTTGGTTAATTTTTTTTTTTGTGTGTGTATTGATCGGAAAACCACAGAAAGACAACAATTTGTTGGTTTTTACAATTGTGAGTGTTGATCGTCTATTGCTTTCGAATTTCCTGTTCAATGCTTCAGTTCAATGCTGTGTGTCTGATTTCTTCATTTTTAAGTTTTTCGTTGGTTGTTTTGTTTTTTTTTCATTCGACTTCGAAAATGATGAATAATTTTTTCAGGGAAATGATTCAGAAATATCACTACTGGAATGCATAGTACATTCCAGCCAATTCAAATTGAAAGCGTAATATTGTTGCTCATTCGAAAAGTGTTTATGTTATTTAATGGATTTTGATATGTTGTTGATCGTTTCAGCGCACAACACACCATATATTTCCGCCTAGAAATCTATACATACGTTTCAATGAACAAAAATAACAAACGACTGAGTTGATAAACAAAGGCGAAAAGTGAGCGTAGCATCCCATTCGATCAGGAGTTAGTACGTCAACAAATGTTAGCTAGGAATGAATAATTGAATTTATTGATTATTGATGTGGTTGATTTGTGTGTGATTCCGTCTTCGGCCCCAGGTTTTGTGGATTCGGCGTGTGTATGTGCATGTGTATATGGCAATAAATTATTAAATGGCAATAAATTGGATTAAATGGCAATAAATTATTACTAATTGGCAACCATGGTGACAGTTATTAGAAAATATAAACGATATACATAGAGAATGAACGATAGCCGATGTGAATAACGAGTCATACAACGCGCCAATTGCTGTGAATTTATATAACATTACACGGAAATCATGATCATGTTACCGCCATCGCCACCGCCACCGCCGCCACCAAAGTATGATGAGTTGTAGTGTATTGCACACTCGCGCGGTTGACACACGCCATCGGGCCAATTCACTAATTAGTTTCTCTTGCTTCGTTAAGTTGCCGCTCGAATATTCTTTCGTTTCCATTTAAATTAAATTCCAACCAAACTAATTGCATGAACGATTGTGTATGCGTCACTGAGTGAGTGTGTGTGTGTGTGTGTGTGTGTGCCAAGGCCATTTAATGAAGCTTTCATCGAGTAATTGGCCACCGAGTGCATTAGTCAAATGAAGAAATATACGCGCATATCATGATGATAGATTAATCAGTGTATGACGAATCCACCGAAACACGGGCGAGCCGAAATGTGCCTATGAAAAATCACTCATTCGCAGTCAACCGACCGATATGGTAGAGCGGCAGAGAAAGAGAGAGGGTCAATCGTTGGGTTCTTTCTCTCGATGGAGATAAATTTCCGTTGTTGCCATTTATGTACACAACGACTTATTTCGATTCAGTACGTTCTTATTCTCGAAGACCAATCTTCCTCTTGTTTTTCTATTTTCGAATGCGCTACCAAGAGCCTTTTTTTATATGTTAATTCGAAGAATGAATAATTCACAGTGAACTCATGTGAATAACTGGAAAAAAAAATAACAGATAACATTGTGCGTGGCTCGTGTCATTATTCGTGCGCTGTTTCATTGTTTGTAGTCGCCAATCGACGAATTTCTGTTTTGTTTTGTTAGTGTTGTGTTGTTGCCATTCGTTCGTTCGCTCCTTATTCTTCTTTTTGGTTGTGGTTGTTGTTGTTGTTGTTTGGCTGACGCTTTCTTTATAATACGTTCGTTTGCCTTTTTTGTGTGTATGTGATTTACTTACGGTCCAAATGAATACATGGAATTTGATGTGATTCAGCTTGAGCAATGTATGCAAAACGGAATGCATTGAATCGATGCAGAGCTCAAGAAAAGAAAAAAGAAAAAAAAAGAAAAAGAAAAATGATATGTTGGAATGCAAATATTCGATATGGCCGATTCGATAGCGCGCGGTGCATGTAATATGATAACGGCCACTTGTGAATGTAAATATGACCCGGTTTCTCAATTGAAATGCACCCAGTCTTGTGTGTGCCCATATTTGTGCGCATAAGCCGTTGGCCATTCGAATATCAATCGAAATGCGAACAACGATATTCCGAAACCAAACAATAAATTCAAATATTGATAGAGATGGAGAGAGAGAGAGAGAGAGAGAGAGAGAGAGAGAGGGAGAATGTAATGTGGTTTTTGTGTTTGTTTTACAGACGATTCCGCTGAAATTCACCATTCACCATAGTTGCCAGAGATATGGATGGAGCGGACGGTGGCTGCGATGGCGGCAAATCGTTTGGCAGCAAACCAGCTCGAGGATGGTCGCATGCCGATAGCATAATTTCCAATGAAGGGGTCACATTCAATGTTCGGGTATGTGTTTTCATTAATGTTTATTTGCTCGTTTGTTTTTTTTTTTATTTCATCCAGATTCCGTTTGAAATATTCCTAATGAAATGATTTCGTTTCTTTTATTCTCTCTCGTCTTCTGCATGTGTCATTGGTCCAAAATACAGTACATTGGATGCCTTGAGATAAAAACATCAATGAAAGTATTAGACTTTACATTGCGATCATTAGTGGCCAAGTAAGTTGAACTAGTATTTGGTTTTTGTTTGGAATTTGTTTGCGCTGAAAATTCAGAGAAAGATTGTCTTGATATGCTGAAATTTGTTCACTTTCGTTTTTCTTCATAGGGAGTGTATAAACCGTGTATGCGAAGCAGCCGGATTAAAAACAATGAAAAAACGACGCTGTGATAAACGAATACAGCAAGCCTTGTCCGATACACCCAATATGAGTAAGGCGGGCGCAAACGCCACATTGCGCGTATCGAGTAAATTTTTATCACTCGTAGGTTTAGAAAATAATGAAACGATTGCAAAACATGACATGCCCCGAATATCATTTGCATCCGGCGGTGACTCGGTAAGCAACACACACACCGTTTATGCCATTGAATGGCTATTTAGATTTTATTGAGAAATTTTTAATGAGTTTTGTGACATTTTATACGCCCATTGATGTAGGAAACACTCGATTTTGTTGCTTATGTCGCTAAAAATGTGCAAGACTGGCGTGCATGCTACGTTCTTGAGTGCGGCGGTGGTCAAGCGTCCGATTTAATTGCTGCTATAGGTCAAGCATTTGAACTGCGTTACAATGAATTCTTCAATAAATCAAAGTGAGTTGAATGCACTAAATTGATATTCACTATGTACTTTTAATCCAAATGGACAATCTATTTTAGTATTCAAGAGAACAAGCACATTTGTTGATCAATTTCACATGAATTGATACGAAACTGTTTGAACTTCGGGTTTGGAAAGATGACAATTTTTTTTTTTCATTAAAAGCAATTAATTTTGTTCAAAGTTTAATCCATTTTTTCGGAAACCATTTTTCCGAACATCACATGGAAAGTGAAGGAAACGTCGACTAATTTGCTGATTTTTTTTCTCTTTTGACAGCGCTGAATTTGCATCAAGGGACACTGAAAACCTAAACATTGAAAAAGATTATTACAATGATTTACCGGGCAAGTTACCACCTGAACTCTTAGATCCAGTCGAAGACATATCATCGCAACATGCACAATCATTGAGAAAACTCACAATTCAAGTATGGCCACTTTTTTATCTCGTTCTGTGAGATTTTCAATTACACATTTAATAAATATTTACACTTTTTCATTTCAAAAATTAAAAAAAAAAATTACAGAAACCACGCGAACGATTGAGTAGTAATTTGATTGATTTGAATAGTCCACCGCCTGATCCAAACTATGTGAATGACAAAAGTTTTGATGTCAACAGTAACACAACACCGCCAGCAATTACGAGAGATGTCTTCGACATGCGTATGTTTTCAACACAATTTGTTTTTTTTTTGTTTTGTTATCAAGCTTCCGTATAATAATAATGATTTGTTTTCTGTGAAATCATTTTTAATTCAACAATTTCTGAGAAACTTTCTCATGGTTTCCTTCATTTTTTTCTGAATTTCGTGATTAGAATTTAAAGGAAAAAAATAAATATCATTTGCTTGTCATTTTCGTAGAGCCATTTTCACTATCGGCCGAAGTACAAAGATCCCAGCTACTAACCGAGCAATGGTTCCACGCGTCGATCAGTCGACAAGCGGCCGAAGCGCTGCTCAAACATGACGGTGACTTTTTGGTGCGCGAATCACAAGGCAAATCTGGGCAATATGTTCTTACCGGTTTACAAGCACAAACTCCAAAGCACTTGTTACTTATTGACCCAGAAGGAACGGTACGATTAATTTATTTTGATTGGAAAAAAATAATAATTTCGAAATGATTTTGGTTTTTCATTCCGTTTTTTTTTTTCATTCAATGCCATTGTTTGTGTTGTAAAATTCATCGGTTTGCATCTGGTTTTTTTCTTGCAGGTACGCACAAAGGATCGCATATTTGACAGCATTAGCCATTTAATCAATTACCACTGGACCAATGTGTTGCCTATCATATCGGAACAAAGTGCCCTTGTTTTACGAAATCCCGTTATAAGGGACTATTCAGTGCCATCGTAGCATCTTAACGAAAAAAATGAAAAAGAAAACCGATAGGAACTAAACAAATTGAGATATTCGATATATGACTTATACAAGTTTCGGTGCGAGATATTCGTACGATTCTACGAAATGTCAATCATTCCCCAAATACTTTTATTTTTTATTTCAACGAACAAAACGAAATTATAACTTCTTTTTTTTTCTATTGTATGATAAACAAAACATAATATCAAAAAATGAACGAAAAAGATAAATCAAACATTTTTATAGTGTAAAAAAAGATCAAGATAAAATTTAGTCGCAAAGTTCATCAGATTTCATTGGATTCCATTTATTTCAACGATGAACGATTCCAACGAACGTGAACGAAATTAGTGCCAGAGAAAAAAAAAAGAATTTGGAAATCAAATTCATAACCAAGAGCATGTTGATAATGTTCTCACTCACTATCCGGAGTGATAATCATTTTTATCACCCAATAAATTATGATAAAATTGGAAAAAATATCCACGAAAAGGAAATCGATTGGTCAAAATTGTCAAAAGATAATCGATTAATCAAAACGGAATTGTATGAATAATTTGATATTTACACCTGGGATCTGATAGAACCAATTATTCTTTTTCTCATTTATTTTGGTTTTCCTCAAATATATACATTCACAAGTTAAGAAATAAAAAAAAAAAACATTTAGGATACATACGATTCCCAAACCAACATATTGTGGCTTAATCAAGGGGCTCTTTTTTGTAATATAATGCTTATTTTTGAATTGCGATAAAAAATTAAATAAAAATCGATGTATTTTTTTTTTAATAAATTCCATTCTATACAGAAAAAAACGAAATTGTTAGCTTTTAGGATGTCAAGTGACTTAGTTTAGTGTATCAAAACCAAAATTGATTGCAATTCATTCGGATGTACTATGTTTGGGAATTATCATCGATTTTATTAGAATAAAACCAAATCTATTTTTGAATCCATGCTTTTTCAAGTGAATTTCAAACCGTTGTTTTTTTTCCACTTTATTTAAATGTTTTTATTTTTTCAAATTTTTAACTGTCTAATTTTGTTCTTAACATCTTCTATGCTGCTAATCACCTTACTGCCATGAAATGTAAATCATCTCGAATTCAATTCTTCTCGATGCTCTCGATGGATGCCATTAATTCCACTTCATGTCGATTTTCTTCTTTTTTGGCAAGGCAGTGCAGGGACGTTGTTGGCGCCAAAACTCTTGACGAGTGTTCAAAAATTTGACCGCATCATTGACTAGTGACGATACCTCTTCAGTTCCTGTATCAGCTCTCTTGAGATCTGGATGCTTCAATAGCCCCTCCAAATATTCTTTATCAACGCACAGTTCACCCAGTAATTTACGTGCTTCTCTTTTTTCCAAGCTCACTTTATGTGTGGTTTTTGCGCTAGTCTTTGGTCGACTTTCTTCATGAATTGTTGGCATTGATTTGGATCGTTTGGTTTTCGTACTGGATTTGGCCGACGATGTTTGTTTCTTCGAACTTTTAAAGCCGCCAATCGTTTTTTCGATTGCTTCCTGCGTTTTCTGTACACCCAACCGAAAACTGTTCAGTTCCGGCCGCAAACGAAGACCACGATGGAAGAACATGAGACTCAACTCGAACTGGCCGAGGAAATAAAGTGCTTCGGCTTTTTGGTAAATGGCGCGAATGTTATTTTTGTCGTTGGTTAATGCGGTTTCCGCATCTTGTAGTCCCTTGATCGGGTCACCTATCAGCAGGTAGCATTTACTTCGAGCAACCAGCGCATTTTGATCCGATGGATTCAGCTCAAGTGCCTAAAATGTAAAGTTTGATAGAGGTGAATACAAAATTGTTTGAAGAAAATATTGACAAAAAAAACATTGAACACTAAATGAAATAGGAAAAATGTTCAAGATTCAACGTTGCACTATTCCAATGGAATTAATACAAGTTCATGCCTTAGATATGAATAAAATAGCAATTTCAGTGTTTCCACTCTTGAATTCACGCTGACCAAGTGCCAATAAAGTGCTTGGATCGGTTTCGTCGGGCAGCTGTAACGCCTCAGAACGATCTTGGCGACGTTTTATGCTTAGACTTTGCTTTATGTCGAAATAACCTAATTGCGGGAAAGGAGTTAAGGAGATGTTAAAATGCTTTTGAGGCAAAAATGGTTGGTTTGCTGAATGATCTCAATTTCGATTCTTTCAAAAATTAAGCAAAAGTCGAATCGAAAGTGACATAAAAAGAGGTTAAACAAAAAGTGTGTCCCTAGAAATCGAAACGTCACACTCATTGAAAAATCAAATGAATCAACCATATGAAACGGCAGCCGCTCGGTCTTTATCGGTGTACATTTCTTCGTAGTATTGTATGCGTTTGCCGCGTCGAACGCGCCCATTGTCACCACGTGGTGATGTGCGAGCTCGTGTGAGACCATCACTGTCCTGATCCGAACGAATCTCTGACGATTGCTTGGCAATTGGCGGTGCTCTCGGTTGCATGTACAACGATTTGTGCGGCTCATGGTCTTCCTGATCGGCCGTCAAACCAACGCGTACAAAACTTTGTAGGAACTCCGATTCCTTATCAACACCCAATATATCTCGAACTTTTGACATTTTTCACTTCGATTTGTGCACGTCCGCACTTCGCGTGTTTGATATAATTGATTCTTGAAATAAGTTTGGAATTTTCTAATTACGAAACGCAGGCCAATGATATAATGGCAAAACTTGGTGGTATTTTTTTTCTTGTTTGCTCTCTTTACACTTAAAACTCAAACGTACAGAGCAATTTAATTTATTCTTTATTAAAACGCAAACGAATAACAACTATCAATAGTTTTTTCTCTTGTTTTTATTTTTGTTGTTACGGTTGGTGGTTTAAAAAACTTTAAACGTACGAGAAAAAAAAACACAAACAAACAAATTGAATGGAATTGAAGATGACGAAAATGATACTCGTTATTTAGCTGTTAATTCGATTGAAAAGCTATTGAAAGCATTTTAAAAGAAACACCTTTCAATTTGGCACCATGGCAACAACACCTCGAGAATCAATTCTTTATTGACGCATCAATGGATTTTCAAACACATACCGAGGTACGCGGGTGACGGGGAAAATGTGTGTAGAAAAACCAAGCGGCTTTGTTTTAACAAGCAAAATGGATAGATAGCAATGCAGGAAGAATCGTTAAAAATTAGTTGGTGTGAAACTTTGCCGCATTTCGTTCAATTTATGAGGATATTAATGTCATTCGGTTCTAATTTAGATTGTCGCATTGAATCGTATCATTTTTACCTTTGAAAAAATGGATTTTCAATCAAACACCACCAGCTATAGCAATATTGTACCATCAGCCATCCAATACGGTGGTGAATCAGTTGCTAAAACAATGGCATGCTTTCAAATTGGCATGAGAAAAAGCTTTTCCAGCGTGGAAAGCTTTGAAAAAAAAGCCAAATGTTATTGCGAAAAACTGAAGCTCATTGAGCAAAGCGCGCGGAAAACTTGCACGGGAAATGTAGTTTTACCTTCTGATATATGGACATAGCTTTTGTGTAGTTATGAACTTTCATCAAATTGGTAGCTTCATCGATTAGCAGCTTACATTCGGCTTCGAGCTCCTCCTGCGGATCTTTAACCACTTTCTTTCGACCCATTTTTTAGATGATGATTTATTATACTGTGGAGTAAATGGAATAATTTCAAATGTTTTCAATTAATATTGAGGCACGTTCATTTACTCTATAAATACTATTTAGGGATTTCGGATTTATGAATCGATCTTTTTGCTTTGGATGAAATTCATACAAATCCATTTCTTCATAGTATTTGCAGAAAAAAATTCGGATTTAACACTATGATTGTTCTTGGGGCACCCAGGGCCCCCAGCGAACTTTAAAGTTGAATAAAAGTACTAAACAGTGTATAAACCAACCGGAGTTAAGTCTCATTGTATAGATTGAACATTTCTCTACACGAATGAAAAAAAAACATATGCATATGTGTGAGTATGTGTAAAATACAGCCTGCCGCAAAACTTATTACGCTGTTGTTCTTGGGGGACCACAGGGCCCCATGGCTATTTTATATTATAACTGGACTATGATAAGAGATAACGACTTGATGTCTGCGGTGAAGTTGTAGTACTCAAGCTGTTCTACAACTTTGCCGAAGACACCAAGTCGTTATCTCTTATCAGTTTCGCGGAATACGCGAGAAACCGCAGAAAACCGCGAAAAAACGCGTTTTTTTCCTTATCATTTTTCACGGAACTGATAAGAGATAACGAGATGGTGTCAAAGGCAAAGTTGTAGTTCTGGTCGGGGACCACAATTATTCTGATTCATTATTCCGTTATCTCTTATCAGTTACGCGAGAAACCGCAAAAAAACGCGAAAAAACGCGTTTTTTTCCTTATCGTTTTTTCACGGAACTGATAAGAGTTAACGAAATAATGAATCGGAACAATTGTAGTACTCAACCAGAAATACAACTTTGCCTTAGACGCCATCTCGTTATCTCTTATCAGTTCCGTGAAAAATGATAAGGAAAAAAACGCGTTTTTTCGCGATTTTCTGCGGTTTCTCGCGTATTCCATGAAACTGATAAAAGATAACGACTTGGTAACTTCGGCAAAGTTGTAGAGCAGCTTGAGTACTACAACTTCACCACAGACATCAAGTCGTTATCTCTTATCAGTTACGCGAAAAAACGCGAAAAATTCGAGTTTTTGATAATCATTTTTCGCGAAACTGATAAGAGATAACGATTTCATGTCTATGGTGAACTTGTAGTACTCAAGCTGCTCTACATTTCTGTCGAAGAGGCAAGTCTCTTACTTCTCATCATCTTCACTAAAACGATGTGGGAAAATTTTGCGATTTCCGCGTTTTTTCGCGTTTTTCGCGGAACTGATAAGAGATAAGCAATATTTGTTACACCAAAATTATAGCAAACTTTGAGTATTACAACTTTGCTGCAGACACTAATTTGTTATCTCTTATCACAGTCCAGATTTCATATGAAGTATCTTGGGGGCCCTGGAGTCCCCCAAGAACAGTAATATGTTGCAAATATGAAGAACAGTCATAGTGTTAAATTTGTTTCAAAAACGAAATTTACTACCACTACAGGAAAGTATAATCTATATCACAATTTTGTGGTCGATATCATAGTCAATAAAGTGTTGAATATCATTAATGCTCGTCACTTGTAGTCTACATCAACAAGATACACGACTTACACGTATCGGCCACCGTGGTCCACAATGATTTAAGCTGTTTCGGTATTCTACGACACAATTCCACAAAAATCGTTCGGAATTATTTCAAGTGTTCAAAGCGTTTCGAAAAAAGGAACCACAACGTTCAATTAAGTCGATTGGCTTTCTGTTGGAAAATTATTAACCGTTTTAAATTTTTATTGAACGTTGTGGCTCCGAAATTTAATTGATCGTTTGGAATAATCGAAAAACGAACGATTTTTGCGAAATTGTGTCGTAGAATACCGACACAGAGTAATTTTTTCAAAAATGGACAGCAAAAAAACCGTTTCTGGCACCGCTTTGGTGGTACCTCAATGCAGAATTCGAAACGAACCGATCAACACATTGTGGAGAAATTTAAAAAATGACAGACAAATCTAATAGCTGTACTTTTTATGAGTGCCATAAAGACATACAAATCAAATCGAATTTTGAAAACAAATTCAAAATTTTTGAATTTTCAAAATATCCTGTTTTTAAATCTAAAACCAACGTTCTAAAATTGTCTCAGTACATAGTATAACACACAGTTTTCCATCATAATTAAATTTCCCAATGAATTCAAATAATAATATAAATTCCCTTGAAAGAAAAGAAATGTCGTCTTTTTCAATTCTTCGTGCATGCATCAAGTTGCAACTGTTTGAAGAACAAAAAAAAAAAGAATCGGTGAATAATGAACGAATGTTGAAACAAATGAGTGCGATTGAAAAATCAAGGGTCTGAATGGTAATCGTAGGTATGCAGTCATATGGCACATAAATTCCATAAACAAACTTTTAATGCGAATATTTGTGTGTTGACATAATTTGATTGCGTCGTTGTTGGATTGTAGTCGAATAATATATTGTAATATGATGAAGCATGCAAGCATGTTTGGGTAATTGTCTGATTTCCTAATTCTTAATTGAAATATAAACAAATTGACTCTGTTTTAAGTCACAAGACAAATTGAAATATGTTATTATAAATAGCTCGAAATGGTAAAAATAGACTTGTTTTTTTTCGCATGTTGGTTACAAGGATGCTTTTTGAAGGAAAGCAAAAAAGAAGGATTTGAACTGCTCAAAAGGTTGTGCACGCAATACATTATAATGAATGTAAACAGTTAATTTTCGATTGTTAGTTTTATACATATATGCAAATCATGTGGAGCGGAGGATATGTTAAGTATGCTTGTTATGTCATGTCATACAATGCATAATACAATTTATGAAAAAAAGAAACTGAAGTCAGTGAACAAGCCACCGAGAAGGGTATTAGCAAAAAAAAGAGTAAACCAAACTGAACTACCGCTAAAAAGTGGTTGTTACTCGTGTGAATATGGAAAGCCGCAAATGCCTAGTTTCATTATACAATTGAATGTCGCCAGAATTTGGTGTATTGCGGTTCATTTTTTTCTATCGATAATAATTTGTGCTCTCTTTGCGGGCATGTCAGTTACTTGGCAAATCGTTATTTTGTGTATAGCCAGTTGCATACCATTTCGCGATGTCTCCCTTTGTATTGCAAACGGTTTGTATTAATCGAATGAAAAAGAAAGAAAATACTTTCGAAGCAAAACTTCAATTCAATTTCCTCAAAAAATTGAATCAAAAAAGAAAAGAATGGGGAAAGGAAAACTAAGGTAATAGGAAATTGCATCGATAAATGAAAATAAGTAAATCGTAACAAGTAAGAGACTTCTTCAGAGGGACATTGAATTTTGTCTGTAATCCACATACCAAATAAAATGGAAACTCGTGAAGAATTCATCGAAAGTTTGGTAAGAAATTGATGAACAAAATGACGAAAAAGAAAGTTAAACAATCAACAAATAAATGAGTTGTACGTACAAATAAATAAGTCGTTGGTTTTGCTCCCTTTGAAACTAATTTCCATATATATTGTTGTTATTTTATGTATGACTCGGTTATACAATTACTCATCGTGTGCATGATGTACACCATTTAAATGTAATTTATGCCATTCGAACATAGTAAAACAAGTTAGTTTGAGCAAACGAATCGCTTGCAACTGGAAATAAAATGTTGTCGGCTTATCGAACGTTTTAATCTTTTTGCACGTACCACAAAAATGTCAATTGTTTTTGGTTGAGTTTTGGGTAGAAAATTAATGCAATAAAAGTATTTGCCACATTGATGCCAGATATTGCTGCTCATTTTGGTTTTGCCCTGGTGAAATTTACTCTTTTTTTTAGGTTCAGGTCGGAACGAATATTCTTCTTTGACTCTACCATTATTTCTCTTTCAAATTCTTTTATAACCGGGCTTCTTTGGAATTTTTTTTTTATTCATTGAGAAATTCTTTTGAATACTTTTTCCGTTGAACTATGTTTTGAAACGGAAAGCCTATATGATGATGAAAAAAACTATGTTTCTTGGAATAAATGTCGTTTAAAACGTCGATTAAAATCTTCTTTTTTGTTATACGTTTGAATTGGACTGGGAAAGGGAGAAAAGAGACGGATGTTATTTCTCTTCCGTCTTAAGAAGCTATCGCCTTCTTTTTTTTATTCATTGCTAATGATCAGCCTGAATGTGTCTGAGTCTGCCTGAATCTGCCTGAATCTTTTAATTCAATGAACTTACCTTAATGTCTGCAACCCAATCGATCGAGGCCAACTGAATCAATTAATGCACAAATATTCACTCTAAATCATCGTTCAAATGAAGCAATTGGCTTTCATTGGTAAAACACAAACCAACAATAAAATAAAAAGAAAAAATAACCCATTTAATGGCATGCCAATCATTTAACACGTAAATTTTCGTTCGCCGTGATGCGTTCGCCACATATAAAACTTAATTGTTCGATGTTTCATCGGGAATAGCGTATGGTTGCTTGTTTGTTTCAATTGAAACTTCCGCTCAATATTCGCCGTAAAATAGTTTTTTTTCGTTGATTTGCCATTCGATTTTTCATTTCATAGAACTTGCTAACAACACCATATAAATCTTCTGTTTTATTCGTATTTTGTTCCGTGAAGCCAATTACTGGTTATTTCTGCAATCGGCAAAACTATCGATACAAATTTGTGCACAAACAATGTATAATGTGACTACTGGATTCAGAGTCTATAGAACGCGACCATCACGGTTGAATATCAAAGTCTCACTGAAATCGCGGTTTCAAGCGCTGAAACGACGACACGGTGGTTCACATTGATTTCAATGGAATACACACGGAATACTTCGTGCAAGCACACAGCTGAACACCTTAAACCAAAACTTCATTCCAACTTATAACGACGAATAATGTGAATATGCGTATCGATGCAACTAAAAGAAACGTTTTTGAAGGGAATCAATCCCGAAGACACGTACACTATCTATTTTATCGGCCATGGTTATCATCAATATTTTCATCGTTCGTTAGGTAATTAGGTGTTTGCAAACGTTTCGATTATGATTAAGGAAATGTGTTTGACAAATAAAAATAATTGATGTAGGAAGAATGATAAACCTAATGCAATTCCAAATAATCAAACAGCTGATGCGGGAAATTTATTCGATGAAGAAATTTACACAAATCGATATCCAACGACAAATGGTTTATTAATCAATGAAAAGTCATCATTTGTTTCCCTAATGATGAGTTAATTGCTTAAATACAAATGATCATTTTCATTCAGTTGTGTCATTTGTATTGAGTCTTCTATTACACCTAATTGCTTTACACATAGCATTTATTCGATGCAATTGAAGACTCTGAAAAGTTGGTTTATTATAAATCGGTTATATCATAAATCGGCCCTTCATCATGATTTTAAACATATTGAGAATTTTTTGTGTTTTTATGGTAATCAAAGCTGAAACCGGTTCGTTTCTAATTCTCATCATAATTCCTTCTTTGTAAAATCATTCACTAACTTTCGATGATCCGATAATTAGGCTCATCCCATGGCAAAGTTATCATGTGTGCTGATTTTTCAGTGTCACCAAAACCCTTGAGTGATTTCGATATTGAATCGGTTGACCTGGACTTGTGCACACATCTCGTGCTTAAGGATTTGAGTTGGATGACGGGCGAGGGTACGTGCTCTCTTCTACTACTCATAAAGTTTTCCTTTTTCTTCTTTTGATTTATTTAAAATTGCAGAAGTTCTGCTGAAAATGAAAAAAAAATCATTTTTCTTCCAAAAGTATGGATAGTATAAGGATTTGTATAGGATTTGAATGACTATTCAATGGAAAAGTTGGTATTTATTATGAAAGTTCAAATGATTTTTTTTTTCAAAATTCCATCAACACCAAATTTATTTCTCTTCTAGTGTTCAATTTGAACATCCTTTGGACAAAGAGACGATGATGATAGTTTTTGAAGAATTTCAAAGACATTTCAAAGCCAGACACCTTTTGCTCACATTAACTTTTGAAACGGATGCAGAAATTATTGATAATGAGTACGAATTGGGTGCTGTGTCGAAATATCTTGACTACATACAGATTGCAAACATGGACGCGATCAAAGGTCTCATCGAATCGGGTGTGCCAACAGAAAAACTTATTCTTCAGCTGTTGCTCCACGCAAGTGAAAGGTTGTCAAATACCAACATATCGTTTAGTATTGTAAATATTAAAGGATACAATGAAATCTGCAATACTTTGTCGAAAAAGACATTTGGGAGAGGTCTTATGATGGCGACAACTGTGTTGCATAGAAAAAGTATGACATTAATCATATAAGCTGGACAATTAAATACGAGTGCAGCCATTCGGTTGCAAATAAAATGAGACAAGTTGTTTAACAGAATTTAGCTGGTGTTATGATTTCTTACCTGAGCAACGATGACTTTCTTGGAAAATGTGGAACTGATACAGATACAGATACATTCGCTGATTTTAATCCAACTGCAGGATTCAGGCTAAATATACACCAAAGGAATGTTATTACACTCTCCGTTCTTCGAACGGTTAACGAGGCGATCGAAGTGACTTTGGACGAAATGGATCATGAGAACAGACTTTCTTAATATAACAAAAGCAACAATGATTTTGCAACATAAAAATAGGCTATTCTTTAGGCTTAGCATATTCATTTGAAAAAAAAAACTCACAATGGCAAGAGATTCGAGCTAGTAGTCATGTATAAGACAATGCAATCAATCGTTTTCAACAGAAAATGCTGATGACCATTCATGTTATAATAATAATAAGTCAATGATAAATAATCGAAAAATTCCCAATAAAAATAAATTTCTCTTCATTTTCTGAAGTCCAATGACGTTTTTATTCGTACGGTGATATTTCGTGACTACGAAATTGGTTAACGTTTCAATTCTATGGACGCTGCCATATTGAAAATTTACGTGCGATATGGTGCACGCACTTAATAGTTCCACCTATTTTAATAAGGAATCTATATAGGTGGCGCTGCCACATCGTCATTTACATCGACTCAAATATCGTCAAATATAATAACATTGTTTATATAGGCTTTTAGCGCAGTACGTTTTTATTTTGACTTATTGAAATCTTTGAGACATTTGAATTCACAGAACGGCTAATAAAATCCATATGGATTGAAGTATATAGCAATATATAACCGCTTGCAATATTATATCCACTTGCAATATTCATATTTGGATTTATAGTTTGCAAAATATGTGATATGATAAAACGGAACATTCTTTCTGTGTAAGTTTTCAGCTGACTGCAGACTGAAAAGTAATTTCTGTAAGAATGGGTTGATTGGAAGCATTCAAAATATTGTGTTGTTCAACATTTAATTACCTATTGATTTTCACCATGACAAATTCTGAGCTAAGTTTAGTAACATTTGCCTGTTGTTGCGCAAAATTTGTATCCATAGCACATAAGGCGTTAAGTACCTCAATCGAATGTAAAAAAAGAAATTATCACAGTTCCTAAATACGCAATAAAACATTTTTTTCAAAAAAAAAAAAACTGAAAGTTTCCAAAAATGTCTCTACGTCGCTTCATTAGTATCGAGTGTGTCTGGAGTTGGATCATTAACTTTTGTTTCACCGAAAATATTGATTAGCCTGTACTTACAGTGAGTCATTAGTGCGAGTAAAAGGTGTCGGCTAGCTCAGCACTCATAAAACAAGTGAAATAATTTTGATGAATTTGGGTATTGGGTACGGTCCAACCGGACCAATAAGATTATGTATGGCAAATTGCAAAAGTGCGGTCACATAAAAAAAATGTGGCATTACACGAAACTGGAAGCAAGCTAAATACGAAAAAAAGTATTTGAAAGTAAAGTGCCACACATTGGCCAATTGCAGAATGGCCCTATCAGATTTGCTTCGTCTTTTGCATTCATCTGCATTTTGAACGATGTACCGAATGAATGAAGGAGAGGGGAATCAATTGCAATATTTCCACGACTAGTTTTCCATTGCATTTGTTGCACTTGTGCATTGACCATTACGAATTTCAATCCGTATAAAAACCAGTGACACCATTGACAATTCAAATTAGTTTAGTTACCATTCGATCAACGAACACTCTCTGTAGAAAATAGGAATTGTGCTAAAAAAATGAATATTTTCGGTTTTTTCGTGATTGTTTGTGGCATTGCCATCAGTAGCGGACAGCCGCTAGAAAACAGCTATGTACGTAAATTTTTCTTTTACTTCAAAAAAAAAAAATTATGATTTTCGGTTCGAAAGACAGTGTGATTGATTATCTTCAGTTCAAAACAGTCGTTGAAATCGTGAATTGTTGACCATTTTTGTTAAACACATTAAGACGATGGTTTAAATTTGAGCATGTGATCCAAAATATACGTATTTATTCAATAATTCAATTAAACCAAATTTGATGCAAGACACACAAAAAAAGAACAGGAAACAAAACACTTTTATTTTCGAGTAGTTGTAAATTATTCTGAAGTTGACCAATTAAACCGATTATTTTGATGGCTTCACTTCGTGTTGAAAAAGTCGCAATTTCGACGCTTGTTATTGTTGTTGTTGAATATAAATTGTGCTATTAAATGGAATGAATATCACATCGTTGATCCAGTTTTGTTCCTTATGTTCGTACGCATTTCTGGCGCTTGGTAGACTTGTCCAGATCGCATTTTTCATATGCGCTGCATTTAACGTTGCCACAGTATACACCGGTAGCAGTTTTAGCTATTTCAAATTGGGAATGATTTGAATTGTTTGAGGGAATTTTTTTTTGAATAATGATAAAATGATTTCGTGTGTTTTTCTACTCACTGGCCGATCCTTTGTAACCGCCACTGCTGGATCCTTGTGAACCGGCTTTTGGGCGAACACACGATTTTGTGTTACACAAATTCGGGCAACAAATGCCACCCATAGTCGAACATTCACTATCCTGTATACACTTTGGCGTACATGACGCCATTTGCGATGATAATGGACATTCACCGAAGTCTGTGAACAAAGTTATTGATAAATTCAAAAAAAAAAATTGAAGAAAAATAAAGAAAATTTCGAAGAGTTGTATGAAAGAAAATTAATGATTTGATTGATATATTGAAATCATATTGAATCTAATCACGTTTACATGGAAAAAATTTCAAATTTACAAATGTTTCAATTTCAAAGAAAGAAGAAAATACGAATGCCAAACATTTCGAGAAGCATTTAGTTCGATATATTTGCATTTTTCTCCAAAAGCGAAAAAAAACACTGGAAACTGTTTAACAAAAAAAAAACTTACTTATTGCTTCGATCGTTGCGATAAATACTACCGCCAATGCCAACAGGAACATAAATTTTGCTGGATGGATAAATAATGAATCAATCAATAACGTTTTGTCATGAAAAGAAAAAGAAAACGCAAGTTTCAAAATTACCAACACTAAAAAATTAACAAATGACTTAATTAGCAAAGCAAAATGAAAATAACTCAATTAGAATATACCCATTTTAGTGGTTTTTACTTCACTGCCGTAAAATGTGTGGAAGTTTTCGTGATCTGCAAAACACTAAGCGAAGATCTAGTCAAGTCTTGAACTGTTTAGTTACTGAGCTGAATCTCAACGAATTACAAAACATTATGCCATATCATAAGCAATACGATATCCATCGAAAAAAGTCGAAGTCATTTAGAGAATAGTAGGATATGTACAACAACTCTACACAAGTGCTGTGTACGTTGCTTGTGACCACTCTTTACCAACACACAATCGTAAGCAAACGCCACATACTGTGTATATACCTGATTATAATACATTATCACTCGTGATCGTAAGTGTATTGCATATTCATACGTATTACATGTCGAATCGGGTAAAGTGAATAGACGCGTTTGTGTATGTTTGAACTGGTCAGTATTCGAAGCACTGATCGCAACCGATCACCTTTGATTGCAATGCATCGACCGAATTGATATCGACATACATTCAAATCAATCACACTTTGCAGAGTGAGTCATTTGATTCATTACATTTTTGAAGCTCTGAAAATAAGTTTATCAGTGAAAAACAGAGAAAAAAATAAACTCATTCAAAACTAGAAGATGAATCAAGTCTCTAGTTACTTTCATCTATGGAACAATCGACTTTTTATCTCAGCTGCTTTATCACTTTTGTCAGTTTTTTTTTTACGATTTTCTCTCCGTCTTGTGTTGAATTGTCAATTGTTTCGATCCGCTCGTCTGTTTTTGCGGCCAGAAAATTCGAGGTGAATCGAATCAATCGAAATAAATTGAAACGTAAACATTTTATAGCACTCAAGTGTTTTTCTGCACTTGACACACGACCATGTCGATGGTCACGAGGACAATTTAACATTTAACGCTTTTAAGAGCAATTTATTCAGACATATTCAAATGAAGTAGTCGAACTTGTTTTCTTTTCTCTTCTCACTCCTAATTTTATTCTTTGTTTTCACGTTAACGTGACGCGATTGTTGACATTCGGTGTTTTTTTTCCCAATTACATGATGAATGCTTTTAAGCGTTTTATTATAAGTAAACACCCACTTCGATAGTCACGTTAAAAGTTCCGCTTTGATGAATCACACTTGAAAAAAAAGCGTAAATTTCAATTGCAAACGATTTAGTTGGATTTCATCAAAACGGTTTGCTTACAAATGTTTATTTGTTGTTAGCTTTTATCTCTTTCGTTGTCTGACGTCAATCGTAGCATCTGTTTACCTTTCGGAATTTTAGACTAAACTTGTAAAAGTTCCACTTGGGAAAGAAAGATCAAGATTAACAGACACATTTTCATAATGTTTATTGAATAATTTTATTTTTTGTATGTTCAATAGGATGGAAGACCAACGACGGCCGCTCACCAATTGCATGGCAAATTGCGTACGCGTTTGGAAAATTATCCAACGTCACCACAGTATCAAACACAGGTGAATTATCCAGGTTCGAGCAATGCGGCTCAACATCAGGCAAAAGTACAATATATGCAAATGGTACAGCTAATGCAACAACAACCAAATTGGGTCCAAAGACAGGTGCAACCAAACTACGTGCAATCAGCCTATGTTCAAACACAACCACAACAACAACCAAACTACGTTCAAACCCAACAGCAACCAGCCCACATTCAAACTCAACAACAGCAACCAGCCTATGTTCAAACCCAACAACAGCAACCAAACTATGTGCAAAATCAACAACAACCAGCATATGTGCAGACCCAACATCAACCAGCCCATGTCCATAGCCAGAAACAACCGAAGAAACATATTAAGAGCCAGCCAGCCGCCAATGTCAACACTCGAATTAACTACCAAGGGCCTGAATACGAACAAGTTCAAACCTTCCAAACTGCTCCAACTGCCCCAGTTGTGCCAGTTACAACAACCACAACCACACCGCAACCCATCTTTGTTAATGAGCAAGTCGAAGAAGAAGAAGCAGAAGAAGTTCCAGCCCCTATCCCGGTTCCAGCTGTTCGTGCACCAGTCAGACGCGTAAGTTATCGTTTGATTTTCATTTCTCACATACTCTACACTTCGTTTCAATGCCAATTAATCGTATTTTGTTCTGAATTGACTAGATCCGTCCTCAGCCAGTGCAACAAGTGCAGCCAGTAAAGCTAGTGCAACATCGATTCCAACCACAATCACAAGGACAAGATTTCGATGATGACCTTTTGGCTCAACAAGAAATTTCACGTATTCCACATGAAGAAACCGAAGAAGAACGTTTGTTGCGTGAAAAACAAGCCAAGAATGCCTACTACTCATTTGGAACATCAATCGATGACAAAATCAACGACCATTCAATTCAACGGTCAGAAACACGCGAAGGTTTGGCATTGCGTGGCATGTACTCGTACAGCGATGGTTACTTCAAACGCACCATCCACTATGAAGCCGATGAAAATGGATACAGGGTGGTCAAGTGAGTGTGTCTTCATTATTTTCAAAGTTCAAGAGAAAAGTGGACTTTCAAAGTCATTAATTTTACCATTCTTTCGACGAAAATCGAAATCTTGTAACATTGGAGTTCAACTTATTTTTCACATTGTTTTGCTTCCAGGGAAGAGATTGAGCCGATTGGAGATGGTCCACAGTACAATCCAAACGGTACCGCTGATGTCACAGCCGATTTGCACAACAATCAACTCAGCTACTCGATCACCGCCGACGATTTCGTTCGCGAAAAAGATAAGAAAAAACCTAAGACTGCCCGTCAATACGACGAAGACGAAGAGTAAATCGTCATATCTGTTTTTAATAACAACATCCAACCCGATTACAATAAGCATTGTATGATCACAATTCATTTTACTATCGGATTGAAGAAAATAAAACGAAATAAATGTTTCAGTAAATAAAAAGACACTTTATTGAAATGAATTCAAATGGAAAGAAAGCTCTCGTTTGCTTTGAAACTGTTTTGTTTGTTTTTCACTTGAATCTAATATGAATGCATTAAGAATGTGTTGTGCTATTTCCAGCTTAATCATAGACAATTCATTCGAATTCTTCATTTCATGTTCGATTCATATTGCCGCTTAACTTTTAGCTACTATTTATTTTGGTCAATTTTGCACCTCTTGTGGACAAAAACACGGTTAATTAGCTTTTATGAATTGTTTTGTTCCATTCGACCATCAAGAGGATCAAGAAAATCGGTTCGTATATCGGTTGAAGTGTTTGGATTGGCGATGAATGCTTTTTCGGAATCGGTCAAGTTCATGAAGCCATTTCGATGGGAAAGAGCGGCTTGTATTGCACTCAATAGATCTGGCGATGGTGGTGCCTTCAGTTTTTCATTTTCCACCGACAAAATTTGACAATCGATGGATTTTTCGGCCGATCGATGCGGCTCACTTGTTGTTTGACTTGAATTACCGATGGTTTTGCTATCGATAGCTTTGTTTTCTGCTGCCGTTTTGTTATCACTGCTCTTGTTATTTGTATTTTCGGCATGCTGCGAAGTAATCGCTGCTATTGATTGTTTTCGTATGGGTTTGTGTCGTCGTGATCCTTGCGTCAAAAGTCGTACAGCTGACGACTCTTCGGGTAAAGCTTTGATAACTGTTTCCAGTAATTTGGGCGGTGATCGTGGTGAGGCTGGATTTTTAATAACAACATCAATACTATTATTCGATGACGACATATTCGCACGGTTTCGTTCACGTTCCGCATTTTTCCGCATGACACTATGGGCACGTCGCTTAAGAATCGCCTGTGCTTGTGGATATTGAGCAAGGGCATCATTCAAATCCGACTTGGACAACACAAACAAATTGGAAAATCCTTTCGATTTAACATCAGCCGTTCGACGTTTTCCTTCAACTCCGTTGATAGCCAGCAAACTAATTTCACCAAATACTGAACCTTCGGTCAGCGTTGCCAGCACTTCATCATTATTTGGTCCGCCCATCACTTGAACTTGGCCCCATTTCACAATGTACATCTCCTTGCCAATTTCACCCTTACGACACACATAATCATCCGGCAAGTAGGTGACCGAACGCAATTTCAACACCAACTCACGCAACAACGCCTCTTCACAATCGGCAAACAACTGTACTTTTGATAGGGTCTGAATGTGAACAGCAATCGCAATGTCCGTCTTTAAATTCGATGGCAAATAATCCAAAATCATATTCTCATCGAGTGTTCGCTGCTGTTCAAATGTGAATTTAAACCACTTTTTCACACGATCAATCGATGCCTTTGGGAGATTCAATCGTCGCATACATTCCAACGTTTCATCGACCAACTGACGATAGTCACTCTGTGCAAAAAAGAAAAAAAAACAAAATGGAATAGGAAAAGGGATAGTGATGAGAATAAAGCACTTTTTACAGATTTAGAATTGCATCAACTCACCTGAAATCGTGTTGCCGTGGCGATAATATCACGGATTTGCCCAATCAACAGTGCAAAAATGAATACGCCCATTAGCCAAGCAACTGTCATAAAAAGCAGCTCACCTTCACTGTCCGGCTTCGGATTTTTTCCAATGGACGTTGCTGTCTTCGTTGCAAACGCAAAACATCGCACATACGGATGTCCTTTGCCACTGAACACCCAACGATCGCTTCCCAAACCTACAGATTTTTTTTAAATTTTAGCTTCGATTATTTCAATTCATCGATTTTAATGCCAGTATTCGAAACAACAAATCATTTCAGTGGATTTTTTTCTCTAAATATTATTAGAAATGTGATCTAGGTCGATTCATAGAAAAATGAAAATAGCAGTCGGAGAAATAATAACAGAAAATTGAAATAAACAAATGGTTATTATTAAACGATAATAGCAGATAAAATGATAACAAAAATAATCTCGGAATTACATCAATCGCACTGACATGAGTCATCGCGATTCAACATCTATTTTTAGAGAAATCTTTCGAGATAAGACAATTATTAGCATGCAGTAGCTACACTTGAAATTAGAATAAAGATCGTTGTGTATTGGTTTTTATGAATGGAATTAGGTGAAACACGCACCTTGATAATCGCTGTATGCATAGTATGTACATGCCGTAATATGAATCATATACAACATGTAGGTCAACGTCCTTCCAAGTCGCACCTATTGAGAGAAAATTTCACAATTGAACCAGTTTGCAACATTTTTTTCTTTGTTTTCATCAACATTTTTCAGAGAAGTCATTTTATAAGGGAAAAATATTCTTCGCAGAAATGGTCAATACTTCAGTTCCGTGTAAAACAAAGGGATATTACAACTTTTTTGACCAGAAAAAACGTCATCTTACGTCGTGCCCATAAATTATTTCACTGTACATTTAGATGGTAGAGCTTGAACAAAAGTTCGACACTATGCATAAACTTGGAAAGAGCTTGACAAACTTGATGAAATACATATATTTTATGGTCGTTGCAATACCCCTATGGTGTAAAATTCTAGAAATAAAAGACTCACAAGATAAGGTGAGGCGATAACCCGGTCCAAAAGACGAAATAATTCCCAAAAGCTTTGAATTTTGAGTAAACGTGGCGCTCGTAAGTAAACTGCTTGCATGCCGTATTTGAAATAAAGCAAATCCAATGGCACCAATGACAGAATATCCATCTGAATTATGTGAAAATTTGAAAAGTTTCAGTATTTCTTATGTTTTCTCCAGCAATGTCAACGGCTGTTAGAGACTAGCAGTCAACAAAATTCAAGTAGACTGTTAGACTAGCAGTCGATGGACAACAACGGTAAAAACGGTTGCATTACCTTAAATTTTAATTTGCGCATGTAATTTTTGCGAGTGAGATTACGGTCATGAACCCAAAATCCGTCATGTAAAAACATGATACGATGCTTGATGAAAACAATGTCCAGCAAATAGATGGCATCGGCACAAAAATCGGCGGCCAGCCAATAGTTTGTATTTTCTGGTGTTTGAAATGGGAATGTCGATCTCAATGGGATGACCCATGCATTATAGAGAAATGTCATCGATACAATGCATAACCAAAAGATATAAAGTGAGCCCTGTGGATCAATTACACCGTTGAATAGCATTTTCAATGTGAATGGGCTTTCGTTGCTTGGATGCTGTTCATCGGCTTTGAACAATGCATTCGTGTGTGATGGTGATTGCGTTGGCGAACCCAGTTTATGTGCTAAATTCACACGATTGCGTGTTAAATGCGATTGTGATGAGCTCGTTGTGCTTGGTGTAGGTGGCATTTCGATTCGTTTTCGCATGTTTCCCGTTCGCATTGTGAAACGTCGCACCAGGTGTCGCACTTGATTCTTTATGTCAGAATTTAAGCTGAAAAAGGAGACGGAGATGTTTCATTTACTGATGAAAAAATTGAATAATTTTTTGTTTTCCTACGTAATGTTTGAATGATTGCTCATAGCGCTGTTGGGTGCTTTTTCTTCCGACTCTTCGACCAACTGCTTCGATGTGGTTTCATCAATGAAGTCGACCAACGCTGTATCTGAAGCTGAAGTGGGTATATTTGGTGTTGCATCATTGTTACACATTTCAGCGTCGAGTGATTGCTGTTGAACGGCACCTTCGATCACCTCGACACTTTGTTCCTGACTCGTAGTCAATTCCTCATCACTTTTCGGTTGCACCGTAAACGAATCAATGTCACTCAAACTGTTCACATAAAAATCATCATCAGCAATGCCGCGATCATCACTTTCGGTGGCCGAATAGTCAAAATTGAAATAACTATTGCTATTGGGTAGATCGTCCAAACTCTCGGTTGACTCTTTTGAAAGGATATCGCTGATATTCGATGTTATTGACGATCGTTTTGCCGATGAGCTCGTATAATTGTCCAAATCGCTGGTGATGTAATTAACAATGGCATGTGTTTTCTCTATATTTGTTTGATTGGCGCTCACATTTTCCGGATCGATGCATCCAATTTTACCGTTGCGAAAATATAAACGGGAACGATAGCGTCGTGGGCTAAATCGGATCAATTTACGACTCGATTGGCCCACCGTATTAATCTTTAGTGTGGGCGATTTCAATGGTTGATTGGGCGTTGTTTCTTCTTGATTATTCGTTGACTTACGCTTATCCGATTTTACACTTTTCCGTTTAAAACGCTTCGTTATTTTCATTCGAAGCGTTAGCGGACTCTTGTTCTCTTTTTGGGGCGATGAGCTTTTGTTGGGTTCCACTTCAATAACTTGCGGTTGCCGTGTTTCTTTCGGTTCGATTTTTTGCACTTGAAACAAGTGCCTTGGTATCGATGGATATTCGCTAAGCTTTCGTCGACGTTCACGCAAATAAAATTCTCGATCACGTTCACGTTCACGTCGTATTATATCCTCCGTTAAGGTAATTAAATCTTCCATTTTTTTCATATCTTCACCAATTTCTTTGAGACTGCGACGCAAAATATTCTCCTCTTCTTTTGGCGGCAACAAATGATGCGGTGCAACTGGTGGTATAGCGGGTTTTGTTGGCTTTGCCGGTGGTACGTCAACCCTCTCATCTTTTGTATCAGTCATTTCTTTTCTGTTGCTGCAAAATTTCGTTGAAAATTATTCGTTCTCGGCTAATTGGCGTTAGGTTTCGTCAGTCATTACTCTTTCATCTGTTGGATAAAAGAAAAGAACAAATACCATTTCAAATTGGAAAAAAGAACACTTTTCAAATCCAACAATAAAGAACCCATGTAACAATGGTGTAAAAAATAAACGTCTATATTACTTAATTATCGGATTGTCATGTGATTCCGATAAAAATCCGGTTGACTTTGTTAAAAGTCTTCGGTAAAACTGCGGTAAATAAACAGAAAACAAAAACGTAACGAGCTCGATTGTACATCGAAACGCAGCTCATGTTGCATTGAAATTGAATTGAAATAGTCAACACATTCCGATTGTCGAAAGCAATACCAATCATGTGATTTATATGCACATTAAACACACAGGCAGGCTGAACACACGGTGTGTCAATCTCAACGGTGTGTCAATCAACTCTCACGCACACAATATCGGTTTCCATTTAGAATTCGCGAGGCACACGGCCGCCCGTACGTGGATCGCATTTTACTTGGTGATTTTTCAATTTCGAGAATTTATCAACGACGTTGACCAACCAATTGCGTGCGTTCATTTCAAATGTGGTGCGACAGACCATTTCTTCGTTTTTTTTCTGCTTCTCCTTCTCTGTTTGAATTGACAAATAAACCTATGAAACAATGGATAAAATAGTGAATGAGCCCATTTCGTGTAAATGTCTATTGAGTTATTATTGAACTTGGTTGCTATTTTGTACCGCAGTTTTATCGCTCCTTAATCGGTTTTCAATCGATGAGGCTGCCACACCATCTGAAACCAACTCAAGCTAACAAACGTTTTTGTTTGGTTAGTAATTGATGTTTTGACACAACAGTTAGTTACATTTGAATGGAGTGAGAAACAAGCACCTTAGTAACGAACGAAGGTAATAAAACTGATGCGCTTTCGCTTGACGTCACTCCAAGTCAGAGGGTGTGAATGGAGATAATTCATTGTTATTGGGCCAATTCGTCGAAACACACTTGTGTTCTCCAACACCTCTTCTTTTCTACCTTAATTCATTCACATTTTCTTCATCGTCTATTTTTATTCGAAATTTAGGGCACAAGATTTGGATAATAAGACATCATTATGACGCACGATATATTGCCGTTTGACCAAAATGAATAATTTAAAATGAGACGAATGGGGATTAAGAAACTTTGAGTTAATGGGAATTTAGCGAGAGAGAAATGTAATTCAGTGAAAATTCAATGGGTGGAAATGAAAAATCATTCAATTTTATGTTCGTTTCATTACACCCCATTCGTAATGTGACACATCTACACGTGAATGTCACATTGCCATCTATCTGTCTCCCTACCTTTTTGCTGGTATAATTTTAATATTCAATATGAGTTTCAGCTTTATGACACGAAAAAATGACACTTCAATTGGAAAATGAATATTGTATGGCAATTGGATGGGGCAAACATTGACGTCCTGGTCGAAATTACCATTTCTATTTGCCATCATAAATTAATTGAACCTCATAAATTGTCTCACCTATTTTGTTTTATTTTCTCCCTTTTTAGTAATATTCGATTCGTTCCTATGTCGTTTGAGTTTAGCACATTCGTATCTCGATTGGGTGGTTTCGTTTTGCACGCACACAATTTTTTCTTTCGATGTCTTTGTTTATATATTCATTTGTCTGTCGATATCATTTTATTGCATGATATCTTATTACGTTAATGCAAATTCGTTAACCATTTTGGAATATTTTCCCGTTATAATTGTTTTCATATTTGCCTATCGAATTGAAAGGGTCCGCGTTTGTTCGATTCAAATCGCATTTGATGAGTACCACATTTCGATGAGAGAATTTTTTCTTGGTCAAATGGTAAATGTTAAATGGTCAATTCCACATGATGAGCGACAAACGAATACTCTAATTAAGATGATTTTTGGAATCGTTGCTTTTTTCGATGTGCTTCAGACGTCGCAGCTCACTAATTTATTCATAATATCTTTGTTTCGCAGTGCTAGACAGTTCACACAATAAATATTCAATTAATTTTAATTTCACTTTAAAATTCCGAACAAAAATGAAATAAAAACACTCACAAGTCCACTGATTTTATTTATTCAACAAAGATACAACTTGACTTGGAATAGCACCATGAGACTCAGAAATTGATGAGAGTAGTCGACAGCGAGAGGAAGCTCGACAATGGCTCGAGCAATGCTTGCGAATGGATAGAATATGACGTCTCTGAATATTTGCGAGTTGAGAAAAAAAAACACATTTGTAAAGGAAATTATGTGTGATTCTGCGTCGGTGTTTGCATATGTATTGGTACATGGAAAGCTAAGCACTCGGTTGGTATTCGATGTGAAATTGGCGCGCAGGCGCTGTCGACATCCTGTGCCAAATAGCATTCAAACACATTTCTAATTGCTGCGGCTCAACACTCAACAGGTGTTGGAATTTACTGTTTCACTTCGCACTGCCAAGCTAATTTTTGCAATGAACTGAAAAAGAAAAGCATTTTCTGCCATTTTTTTCTTACTTCGACTCAAACAGATTTAAATGTTTTCATATCTATTCAAGTCGTATTTGGTGCGATGATACGAGGAGATATAAGTTATGCGAATCTCATTTTTTGGGTGAAACAAGTCGATACACTCAGACCAGAGAAGACCTAGGGGCTTCTATGTCGGTTTGGCATTCGAATTTTTATTCACAAATTCGCGCTCAGTGCTATGCATTCGCAACGCTGCCATATGATTTCTATGTAAACATTCGCACTCGCATTCGTATGGCAGTCGTATTTCGCTGTTCTCGAACGTTCTCACGAATGCGAGTGCGAATGTTTAGATAGAAATCATACGGCAGCGTTGCGAATGCGTGCCCAAACACGAATGAATTATGTAGTCACAAGTTCGCTGTCATAGCCGCATTCGTCGCATTCGTAAACATTCGAATTTTTGTTCTGAAATGATTCGCGAGAGATAAATCCCCTTAGGAGAAGACCTATTGCTCCTTTTCGTACACAACCAAAACGCAAGAATTAAATATGCCACTTTTGGATGCCATTCTAGGGAAGAATATTCGATCCATCGATCACGAGCGAATCGTTGATGAATTGGAACAGCGGCAGGTGGTGTCCGAGAAATAAAGGGTGTCCCAATAGGGACGCAAAAAGTTTTTCAATAGGGATTTCATGATGGATGCCCCGATCTGTCAAACTGGAATGTCAGTTTGAAGCGTCCATCTATACCATTTATAACCATGTCAAGATTAAGTAAAGATAAACGCGTTCAAGTCGTTAAATCCCATTACGAAAATGGGTCTATTTTGCAAAATACGTTTCGTGCAATTCGTGAATTTTTCGGCCGAAATAATCGACCAAATGTGTCCACCATCAGTCGCCTGGTGCAGAAATTTGAGCGTACTGGCTCTGTGTTAGACGATCAGCCATCAACCCGTATGCGAACGGCCCGCTCGCACGAAAATATTGCTGCTGTGAGTGAAAGTGTGGAGGACGAGCCAAGAACCTCGGTTCGTCGACGTTCTCAACAAGTTGGCCTCTCTAGGATGACCACATGGCGTATTCTCACCAAAGACTTGGGTCTACACGCTTATAAGATTGTCCTCACTCAAGAACTTGAACCGATGGACCACGGAAAACGAAGACATTTCGTCGAATGGGTCAAAGGAAAAGAGGCAGCGGATGCCGATTTTTTGAAGAAAGTGATCTTTTCGGATGAGGCTCATTTTCACTTGAATGGGTATGTGAATCGCCAAAATTGTCGATTCTGGGGAAGCGAAAATCCAAGAGAAACTGAAGAAGTGTCAGCTCATCCAGCTCGTTGCACTGTTTGGTGCGGTTTATGGGCCGGCGGCATCATCGGGCCGTTTCCATCAATGGCGAGCGATATCGTGAGATGTTGCAGTATTTTTTTTTGGTCGGAAATTGAAGGCATGGACTTATCCGGCATGTGGTTTCAACAAGACGGTGCCAGACCACACACAACACCTGAAACATTAGCGGTAATCGAAGAACGTTTTCCAAATCGCATCATTTCTCAAAAGTCCGAAGTGGAATGGCCGCCTCGTTCGTGCGATTTAACGCCATTGGACTATTTTCTTTGGGGCTACGTCAAGGATAAAGTCTATGCCAACAAACCAAGCACCATTGCCGAGCTGAAAATTGAAATCAGACGTGTCATAGCCACCTAAATGTGCCATTACTCGAATCTGTAATTGAAAATTTGGGCAAGCGGCTGAAGGTCTGTGAAAAGATCCGTGGTGGACATTTGCACGATATTCTTTTTCATACATAAATGGTAAAGACCAAACTACAACATACAATAAAGATTTGGAAAATTGGAAACTATTTTCATTGTTTTTTTTATAAATACTTTTTTGCGTTGCTATTGGGACACCCTTTATATGTACAGGAATTTTTTTACATTGGGAGGCCATTGTATTCAAATGCTTATTAGAAGTTGGTTCATTCTTACCGACTTTGAAGGTAATATATTGTGTTAGATTATTGTTTGCTAATCACAAAATGCTCCTGAATTGTAATTATAGTACTATATGCGATAATTCCTGCACTATTATTTATTTCTGGTTTGCTTATGATGGTTTCAACAGCCGTACAGCGAAATTCATGACAACAACAACAAGTATTGATAGTTCTTAAAAATGCCGCAAATCGCTAATACATCTTATTTAGGCGCCACCGCTATTTTGCGCCGGCCAAAAGTATAGGTTGGGTGCAAGTAAGAGAAATTTTACAAAATTGAAAATAATTTGTAACAACAAACCTATTCAAATAAACTTGCAATAGTTAAAGATCCAGTTTCAATAAAAACCATCGAAAATGCCATGAATTCAACTGAGAGGGTAACATTGACAATCATAAAATATATATTGTGTAAATATTACGTCCTGAGTGGCGTCCTTTTGGGGTTAAATATTTTGGATTTGAAGTTAATGTAATATATTTAATCAAGGTCCATGAAAACTGTCGCTTCAATTTACCTTATGTTTCGAACCATTTCGTTTCGGTAAAGATGGCATGAATTGCAAATTCAGTTGGATTCTTTTCAATTCTGGATTTTACTTTCCCAAAAAAAACTAACCTTTATTGACTGTAATAAAAAAAATGCTCAGCCATTGGATAAAAATATATGGATTTTATTAATTTGTTCCATTTTTTTCTCATAAGTTTGATTGATCCTTTGGAGAAATTGCTGTGAATCAATCATTAATTAGTGGAAATCGCGTGCAAATTATAAATCATTACGAATGAAACGGTCGATAAGTTCAAGTGCCACTTCAGGCTGATCGGTTGGAACCATATGACCGGCATTCAAAACCAACGCGTCTACGAAATTATCCGCCACTTTTACGTAACTAGAAAAGAAAGAAGAAGAGGAAATGCATTACGACACTAATAAAACTAATCTGATTAAATGTAATCGATTACCCAGCCATTTTTGAGTTCACAATAAAAGATTCACGACGCGCCGATCGATATTTTTCCGAACCTTTCCACTTCATGTGCTGATAAGCGTTTTCTGATAGTGGATAAGCGACTATAAAATCCATATTACCGCTATAATACATAATGCGAAGCCCTTCATTCAACAATTTCTCCGTCCAGTGCATTGCCGTTGTCATGAAGTCGGGTATCAAATTGATGTAGACAAATTCGGGTGACTTGAAACTTGCACCGCCCACGTGAATTGCACGACGTACCTGCAAATATTTTTCAATGAGACGGTTATTCAATTGTTTTTATAAAAATTCAACAATTTGAACAAGAGACTAAGTCCTCATTTCACTTGAAAAATACTTCTCAATCGAAAGTCAATCCTTGGAATGGACATTTTCAAATCGAGATTTTTTTTCCAGCGATTTTTCTTCTCGAAAATGAATCAAGTATAAATCAAAATGATAAAACTTCGGGTAAAAAATGATCTCCATGGAAGAATTCAACTAATCGAAAAGAGATTTACGTGATTTTGTTCGATGTATTTACGATACGATTCCAAATCCAGTGCCTCTGGCTGGAGAATATTATAAACATTGCTATAGTTACTGCTTTGGACGAAGGCGTACAGCATCGTGTCCCAATACTATGCAATAAAAATAATGACAAAAGATGATTAAAATGCGAAAATCAATCAAAATTTACCTCTTTCTAACATTTAAATACGTTTGATAATAAAATACGTTAATTTTGAATAGAAAAAGCTTACAATTTTCGATTCGACGCTGGGAAAGTATTCCTTGGCAAGGAGTTCGAATAATCTCATGGCGTGTTTACCGTGTAAATCGACTAGACCAGTTTGATAGGCAAAATCGGCATACTCAAGCATATTTATCGGATCAGACAGAGCATTACCAAGAGCTAATCCCTTAAGCCACACAAAATTAGGTACAACTTTTAGAAATGTTTCCGAAAAATTCAATTTTTACAGGTAAAATGTGATTTTGTGCTTAGATTTGAAAAATGAATATTTGAGACAGTTTTCTTTGTTATATATTGAAATGAAGAAATTTAACAAAACTAAATAAAATGAGAAAGAGAAAATCAGAATTTCGTTTACTTGTAAATTAATGATAAAGTCCTCTTCTTTGTTCCCTTCCCAAATGGCATTTCCGATGGACGGAATGTATTTGCCTGCAAACGATTCGCCTGTAATGAAAAATTCGTTTTGCTGCAACCATGGGAAGAGTTCAAAGAACTGTTTCAGTCCAATGTATAAATGATCTCCGACTTGTGTAATGTTCCTGCAGTATCCATCAGGATCGGTGTAGCTGAATCCAGCTCCAACCGGATTGTCGATGAACAATAAATTGTATTTTTTGTGCCATGAATACGGATTTTCTGGAATCGAAAACGTTTATTTAGACCAAAATGTCCATTTTCAAACATTCACAGTAATTATTCTACTTCGAATAGTTTTCATGTCGTTGTTGACAAAAAACGGTCCATTTTCGGTGAAGAGGCCAAACAATGATGAGCTTCCCGGTCCACCTTGAAGCCACAACACTACAGGTCGTTGAAATTCTTTTTTCAATTTATGCGCAAACTTTTGTGTGTTATTCCGAGTCTTTTTGCTTCCAAACAACAGCGGTGGTCCCTTTTTTCGACTATCATCATCATCATGAATGCCACTATAACTACCGTCATCATCGTCACTGCCTTCGCGATCGTCTTCGTACAGTTTTTCAGTTCCCTCGGCCGGAAAGAACCAAAAGAATAAATTTGAATCATAATCTTCGTTAACCGTTAAAAACCCCGAATAACTGACTACATCCAAGAATTCACTTTCATTAACTCGCGCCAGTTTGCGCGCTTCATCTTCGTTACCATCTGCAATCAATTCGGACAACACCAACGGATCACCTGAATTAACAAGAATTTTCACAAAATTTGAATTCATTGCATTCAATTATTGATTTAATTTTGCTATTTTACCTAAATCATCGTATGGATACAACTATCGGTGAAATGAGAACAAAAAAAAGAGGCAAAAAACCATTTTTCTATTAAATTTCTTAGCACTTTAAGTGCGAAAACTGAATTAAATCGTAAAATTTAAATAAAAACACTAACAACGGATCGCCATAACGGCAAATTTTGCATGGTCAACAATTGAGCACTGATTATTTTCAATAGGCTCAATGCCAAAAAACCACCAAAAATCAGATGATATCCACTCATTTTTGCTGCAATTCTATTCAATTCAATGGTCCGACTATTTTATCACTTTAAACTATTCGAGAAGACTGCAGACGAGCGCTTGCATTCCGAAATCAAATCCTGTTCAACGTCCGTTGCATGCATGCATTTCGTTTTCCTTTTTGGTCACATTTTCGTGTTTCTTCATTTATTTATTTTGCATAACCGTTTGGTAAATATGCAACTAGTTCTATTCGAAGGTTCTATGAACTTGGTTGATCATTGTTGCCGGTTTTGTTGGTTTCTCTCATCGCAGCCTATACGTACGTACATCTTTGTGTTCGCCTAAATGAAAATAAAACATGAATATTCAAGAATTTTAATTGCATTCTCGCGCACCGCACGCGAACGGGTTTCTCTTCTTCGTTCTTTTCACTCGAGTGATACGTACAGAAATGCTGATTTTTTTTTTGTTCCGTTTATAGCGGGCATTACCTTCGCTGTACTAAATTTCGATCTACGACATAAATGTTCACCCTTGATACGATTCAATGACACTAATTCTGCTACATTTTTCCACGATATTTATCATTTCTCCTTTATCAAATATGGGAACGGCATGGAAAAAACAACAAGTGGCCGGAAATTTTCGCTTTTATTAATAAAACGCCATAGATTTTTCAAACAAAATTTTATTCCATCTGTAAGAATGTAAATGAAGATATTACATAGTAGAATGAAATGTTTAGCCAAATAAATTTGCCTAATCCTTAAAATTAGCATTTAATAAAAAAAATGGTCCAATTTAATTGCCAGAATTAAAATGGGTTTGTTATTGATTACTCGACATGCAAGCGTCAATTGATTTAATTTCTAAATGAACTTTTTTTTATCTACCAATTGCAATTTTTACTAATTCTATTTGGTTACACTGATTGAATATAGCTTATCAACACAATATTTTAGTAAAAATAAGAGGAAAAACGAAATTTTTCTAAATTGAATAAAGAATAAAAATTTTAATAATAATCAAACGGTGAATTGAAGAGCGAAGGAAAAATTAATGGAAATTAAATCAAATCAGATCAAATGGAACGAAAATTAGAGCAAATGTTAAACCGAAGTAAAAAATCGAAAACGATGCAACAGAATAAACTTTGTAGAAAAAGTACATTGCGAAGTGATCTTCCAAGTATTCAAGAGAGGAGAATTTGATCAGAACTAAGAAGGCGAATATGAATTCGATCTGATGTTGTGTTTCAACACTTAATTGATGCAAAGATCTCTAGGAAGATCTGAAATTTGCCTTGATGTGGAATACAGCATTCGTCTCGATTCAATATTCAACCGATATCTTGAAATAAGAATCAAGATTCTTGATTCACAGTTTCAACTCTTTAGAGACATTTCATTAGCCATAGCTAATGATAATTGGCTATAATCAGATGTGACACCTTTTCAATGAAAATGAATTTAATTAAATGAACTTGATGTTAAAAAAAATTGGTGAAGTCAAAAACCAGATTTAAAAAAAAAATCAAATTCTGATTTTGTCCAAAGAGTTCATTTTCATCAAGACAGTCTATCTGTACATCGTAGGCATATAGGAAAATTCTTTGGAAAACATTCCATGATTGAAACACATATGAATATCGCACAAAGTATTTTCTCGATAGCACTGCTTCCCATTAATAGTATACTTTTAGCGGTAAACAAATTGTTGTCAAGAGACAGTGTGTTATCAACACGATTCATGTTTTTAGCTCATGAGCGCAGGGCCAAATTTTTTCTCTCAAAATTGTGCTGAAAAATTATCGAATTTGGAAAAATTCGAAATAAATGAAGGAAAAGAAAACTTATCGAAAGATAAAATCCTGAAACTCTAAAAATGTGTGTTTTTAATAAAATAGCTCTGTATATGTGTGACCCGATTTGCTCCAGTCTCTTGAAAACGCCCGAAAAGAAATGATAATAACAAATGAGCCTTATCAAATTTTACGTAAAATTTTTGTCAATGAAACTCATTCGGTAATTTTCTGATGACGCTTGAATGGAATGGCATCACGTGATAAGCAAAATTGTTATTCCGTCATTATTGTTTTCATTTTAATCTGAAGTTTTTATTTGTTTCGTTGGTAATCGATTGTTTTTTTTTTCTTCTCATGTACGATTAACAAAACGAAACTAATGAGATAAACAAAAGAACGTAAGATGAACTGGAATTTTGAAAGAAAAAAAAACGTAAGAAAATTTTCGAGAGAAGAAAAACACAAAATCAAGGTTAATTTTAAGAGAATATCTCATTTATATATAAAACAATTGTGTAAGTAATATTCTTGTCCAATAATATAATTAAAACTGGATACTTAAACCGAAAAATTTGTTCTCTGCTGATTTTTTTTCGCGTTGATCTAACATAATTCGCATACAACATAATTGTGATGGTCGATTATGTATGTGTGTGCGTGAATGAGAAAACAAATCCGCATTTACGATGATAAAGAAATAATTGTGTGATCAAAGAATTTTGCAATGAGAAAAAAAAAGAAAATTATTCAATCAGTAATTTAATGTTATCATTAAGCTAATAAATTAAATGAGCGTGATTATTCAATTTCTTCTTTCGATTGTTTTTTCTCTCTTGCTCTTCACGACGTCATTGGATGGTATTTCTTGTTCTTATTTTTGCCGAAATATCTTTCGAGTGTGCTTATCTTAACAATTCACCATTAAAATGATAGTGTGTCGTAGGGCATTGGAAGATTGTGTTAATATTGTTTTTTTTTTGGGGGGGGGGCGTATATAAAACGAAAAAAATCAAATGACCTAACAAGTACACACTAGAATTGTATTTGAATTGTATATTGTTGGTCCATTACTTCGACATTGAAGTTGAACACTTCTTAACAGAATCATCTAACATATGCTTTCGACCCGGGAATCATTTTATTCGCCTATCCAATCCACCGTTCTGAGAATGTGCTTCGTTCAAAGGGTTGTTTTTTTTTTCTTTGTTAATTTATCAAAAACTGAGATCTCGTCCAGCAAAAACACAAACACAGAACCATCGATAGATAAACGGGCAAAGTGTCTCGGGGTTACACAACTATTGGTTATCTATTCGACATCAACATGATCAGCCACTTATCATTCCATTTACCTACGAATTTGTGTACAAATATTTTTCCAATGAATACAATTACAATACATTTTCTAATCAATGCGATTAACAATGCTCGATAAACAAAAAAACGGTTGATGTATTTGTGAATTAATTGAAAAATCAAAATCGAAACGAAGAACTGAATCAAACACAAAATAAAATTAATGGCTAAAGATCTGAAAAAAAGTTTTTGTTTTTTTTTTCTTCACGATTAAACTTAAATTGATTTTGGGGTTAGGTATATTGTGTGATTATGGTGGAGAGGCCAAGGGATGAATGGGAAAGGTAGGAGGAAGGGAATTGTGTTGTATACAAAGTGTATATATGAAATTACATTGAAGTGGGAGACCAAAAGTTCATTTCGCGCAATTCGGATGGTTTGGCTTTGATGACTTTTGGTGCACCGGCTGATGATGATTTCGATTGCGAATGCAAATCTTCGCCTTCTTCGCTAATATGTGACGATGCAACAGATGTTGTTGATGACATACTCTCACGTTGCATACCCAATAAACTGGACAAAAACCATCCACGATATCCATCGGGCGCATTAATATTGCTCGTTTGCGTTTGCTGCTGCTGCTGCTGTTGATTGACAATGGCAAATGTGCCAGTAAAGTATGGATTATGTGATCGACGCATTGTTTTTGGTGAACCAAGCGGTGATGCAGGCAATGATTTTGATCCACGACGTACCATAAAACGTGACGATGCAGACATTTGATCGTAATGCGGCGAATCACTGTTCGTTATCGGATCGCTGCTTGTTGTCGGTTCAGCTGATACTTCTTCGGAATCTTTACTCAGAGTACTGGACAAATGGGAAAGAAAAGAGTCGCACGATTAGTTTAAAGAAGAAAAAAAAATAATAAATAAACGGAAACAACGGCATAATGACGGTTTCAATGTTGAAAAGTAGAAGATAAAGAAAAATTGTTGAAAAATTTAATCAAAAGCAAACAGAAAATAAGAAGATGAAAACAAATGGAACGAAAATTATTGAAAAACAAACGAAAGCAACAAAAAAAAATTCCTTATCAACAGTGGAAAAAAAAGAGTTCCAAAATTGCAATTGCCCAACTTACTTTGCAATGGCGAATCCTCTACCCAAGGATTTAGCAGAAACCATCTGATGTGCAACTTTTACAATAGAACTGCCACAAGCAGCGCCAGCTCCCTTGAATCCGTCGTCGGTACCAAAAGGTTTAGGTGGATGTTTAACGTTATCGATGATTAGCTCTGTGAGAAAATGTGAAAAAAAATTAACGATTACTATTGTTTGTTCAACACATATACAAACAAAAATTTTCGGTTTTATTAGCAAAAGCAAATGAAAAACGCGCTGACTTTCTCATCAAAGTGTGATTGCGACAGACGATTCAAATTAGATAATACGATAATTCAGAATGAGTTGAGTATTTTTGTGATAAAAGCGAATCACCCGCGCGCGCTAATACTCGCAATGGAGATGAAAACTCGGCCAACAACAACAACAACAACAACCGAAGTAACATTGAATTGCTAATTTTGCCAGAGCATGTATATTTGTATCGTTCTCTCAATTCGCCGGTATGGTATTGTTGATGCGAAAAGAGGATACTAGTACCTGCCCATTTTGGCGTTCAGCCAAACACATGTATACACTTCATTCTATGTTACACAATAGTACATGTACAGTTCTTTCATCATTGCATAAAATCCATAAATTTCAATGACTTTCTTGTGTCGTTAAAATAAACAAAATTGAGCAAATATTCGATCTGAAAATAATTTGCGTAGTTGAAATCTTGATACAAAAATAAATTGCAAGATTTATCAGAAAAAGAGAAAGAGAAAGAAAAACGAAGGCATCCCGTTCAAACTGGACTTTTATCCCATTACCAACAAAAAAAAAACACCATTTGAGTCATTGGGATTTGTTTACAATTCACTTGTTGTTCGAAGTCATTGCACGCGATTTGATCAGCGATTCCCTTTATTGTCGTTTTGTTTTTGTTTATCAATCAGTTAGCTCTCCAGAACCGGTACATTTTGCGTAAATAGCGTTGAGTAAAGATATGAAATGCGACATCATTTTTTTGTTTGCTATTTTGCCGTATTCGCACTACGTTTCAGGTTGTTCTTAGTGGCCCATTTACCAAAAGTACGAAACAAAAGATGAACCAATAATGAAAAAACGTCGTAATACCATAGGTGAAAGCACGCGCATCCCATCAATTTCAACTAGTGTCAAATTGAGACAAAGATTCTTTGCCATCAAAACCGATGAGAGAGAAAATTGAGGCAATATTCATTATGTGTGACCTAAGCATCACATGACTGCTGTGCGAAAAACGGGCATCATGCCAACAATCTTTTATAGGCAAATGGGAGAGAGAGAGCGAGAGAGAGAGAGAGAGAGAATGAAATGTGCACCTCAATTCGCGTTGAGCAGTGTGTTCACAATTAGAATACGAAGCGAACGATCGTTGGCAGTCGATGATTGTCGACCATGCCATTTCGATGTCGAAAACTCCAAATACCGTCATGATAGGCAACACACATAGCACAGGAACGGATGCGTACATTTTTGAAATCACTTAAATTACAAACTATTCACATGCAATTGTGAGCATGGCCTCAATGGGAATGAGAGAGAAAAAGTACGTTATTTTTCATCATTCGATTTCTAGCTATAGAATTGATTTTATGTTAGAGCCCGGATTCGAATGAAGACGAGAGAAACGAAAATCAAATTTCCAAGAAACAAAGGGAATCGCTTGAGACGTTTCTGTGGACTGTTTTGTGTGAATGCGGATGCTAATTTTGGTCCGCCAATCGTTACGCTAAAAACAATAAAAAAAACAACACACACTCACCAATCACAAAATATATTCTAGATGCTAACGGCGGTTGATTTCAGTTTTTTTTTTTGCAAAATAAATTAGGTTCCCAACTTTGTCTTAGTTCGGTGTGTTTTTTTAAATTTCAAATAAATATTATTTATATGCTTATATAATTCAACTGAATTTCCCACTCGGATCGATTGGTTGTCGTAATGCTATATTTTAATTCTATTTCGATGATTTTGTTTAAAAAAAAAATGGCGCGAATCACAAAACTTTTAATTCTACTTGGATTCTATCACAGATGATTTTCAGTGTTTGTGTTTTTTGTTTTAAGTTTAGTATGTCGAATGCCAAATCACTTCACTTTTGAGAAAAGGTTTTTTTTTCGTTTTTGGAATAAATATTTTCGTTGTTGATGCGAGCAATTGTGTTACGATTTCTTATTTAGAATGTGCAATCGTTGTTGATCGTTGATTTTCTTTGGCTGTGATACGATTTTTATAAACGTGCACGCACTACGCATTTTATGAGTGCTTTCAAAATGTAAACCACGTTCGGCTTCTGTGCGAACTATATGACTGCGCTAACGCTGACTGTTGTGAACTGCGGCAAGAATGTTCATTTTAAAGCAATCGAGCGCACAAAACGACGAATTCGCAGCGAACTCACTAACACAGCGGCAGATCACGCTTCGATAAACCAGAAGCGACTACACTGTTCATGAACATGGAGTCGCTAAGGTACATACATACGAACACAATCGTAGTATTGTTTGCAAATCATACGGAACCGTTTTTTTTCTCTTCCAAACAACGATTGTTGTTTTTGTTTTATGGATTCTCGGCGCTATTTTTCGTTGTTCGGCTGTTGTTGCCGTTATTGTTGTTGGATTGGTTTACGGAATCGGCAACACATGTACAATTTATAAAAACAATTTCAATAGATGCTTGCGCCTACCAATACCATGTTTGTGCGGGTATTATAAGCCGATCGTTGTTTTGTTTTTTCATCTTGTTATAATGAACTGAATATTCAAGTGAATTTCCAACGGCGTTCCAATTTTTCTACGGATTTTTCCAAATGGGCTTCCCCCAACCATACAATACACAATGTGTACTATACATTAATCCGCTTTATAAAATCGATCTTTGATCGCTCTAGCCACAGTCTCCGATTTCAAGTCATAAACCGTTTTGAGTTTGAGATAATGAAAAACACTGTTCGCTGCACATGTATTTGAGGCTCTGTGCAGAAAAAATTGCAGCGCCGTAGGCCTGAAATATTCGCTGTTCGTTTCGTCATGCGTTCGATCGGTGCATTCATTCGTCACATGACATCAAGTGAACGATGGGAGCAGCAACAAAGAAAAAAAAATGTGTGTGTCAGGCCAATGTTTCATGCCACGTCCAATTGCCAACAGCTGATTGTATGTGCGAGACTGAGAGATAGTCCAGTGATTTAATAAAATTGGCGATCATCCATACTGCTCTGGCAAACCGTTCAACTATATTTACGCACTTACACACTCTTATCATGGCAGCTCGAAATCTTCGAGTCAACTGAGCGGCACTCTGAATGTTCTGTTTTTTTGCTGTGTAATTTTCAATTGGAAATTTTTTTTGCCGGTTCATTGCTGCCACGTTTATCATCAGCAGCAGTGCATATCCGATGACCTTTTTTGGCTTGCAAAAAAAAAATCACTGCTCTTTTTTCTTCTTATCATTTAAGCGCAAAGGTCTTTGAATCCTTCACAGCGTACAACAATTTTTGCCCAAAAAAAAATTGGTGTGCCATTCATCTAAGCAAATTGTACGGCTTTTGTTGCTATTTCGCCAGTTGAGGGTCAGTAACAAACGCACAACTTTCGATTCTACAAATATACGTAATTCGATATGCGGTTGCGGAATGTGCATGTAGTTGTGTGTGTGTGTGTTTCTGTATGTTTTCTTTTCACTTCTGGGCTATTTCGAGATTGAGCAAAAGAGAGGTGCGTCGAAGATTTGAGCCAATCAGCGATTGTATTGCAATTTATATAATATTTTGTGTTTTTACACAATGCGATTGGCTTTATAATGTGCGTGTTCTCTATCGCAACGCCACGATGTGTGTATGTCATGTGCGACCCCAGTCATTGTACGCAAAAGCCTTTTGTTTCGTTGTGTGTTTGCGCTTCTTTCTTATGAAAACGCAGTTAAGACAGAGCGGTCAACGAGCGCTCGTTCGTTCGTTCGTATGCGAACATGTTCGTTTGTTCGTTCGTTCGTTCGTAGAATCTACGAACATGTTCGTTCGTTCGTTCGTTCGTTCGTAGAATCTACGAACATGTTCGTTCGTTCGTTCGTTCGTTCGTAGAATCTACGAACATGTTCGTTTGTTCGTTCGTTCGTAGGTAAAATTTCATTTTTTTTTCAAACATAAAATTTTCTTATTTCTTAAAAAAATATAGGAATGATCTTATGTACTCAATAATACTGTAAGCACTGTAATACTGTAATTTTCAAGTTGTGAACATTATTTTCGCACAAAAAATTGAACGAATATTTTTTTGAGTTTCCACTTGCACAATTGGATGCATAATAATGCAATAAGCAATAATAATGCTGGTTTCAAATGTTGTGAAACGAAGAAAGTGATGCATACGGAGAGAGAGATAGAAAAAGTGACAAAGACAGTGTTCATCTCTTTTTGCCAAGTATGGTGTGCACATTTCAGATTCGTCTTGTTGCTGTGATATCATGAAGCACGTTGTCTCTCGAACTGTGTGTGTTGTACGATCACAGAACAAAACATTGTCTAAACGTATAACTGTTTTGCACGTGGCGATTTAACACAGTGCGTAAAACACACACTGTTTGAACGTCCATGTGATTTAAATCATCACTGCAACAAGTCTCTCTGAATTGCACACCATAAATGACAAAAAAAGATGAACTTTGCTGTCTTTGTCATTTTTATCTCTCTCACTCTCTCTCTCTCTCTCTCTCTCTCTCTCTCTCTCTGTGTGTATGCATTACTTTCATCATTTTACAACTTCCACGTTCATGTCCAGCTAATTATCATATCATTCTATTCTCGCCACACAAACCACAATGAGTGAAAGTAAGATTTTCAGCGATGTTTTTTGTTGAGTGAAGATGTTTTTAATTAGTTTTATGCATTCAATTGCGCAAGTGGAAACTCAAAAAAATATTCGTTAAATTTTTTGTGCGAAAATAATGTTCACAACTTGTAAATTACAGTATTATAGTGCTTACAGTATTATTGAGTACATAGGATCATTCCTATATTTTTTTAAGAAATAAGAAAATTTTATGTTTAAAAAAAAAAATGAAATTTTACCTACGAACGAACAAACGAACATGTTCGCAGATTCTACGAACGAACGAACGAACGAACGAACATGTTCGTAGA